TTAGGCATGGCAGATATGAAAAACTAAAGGGGCCTGGGAAAAGAGTCTGATTGAAGCCTCTTGCCAGGTGAAAAGTCAGAAATTCCAACATAATTTACAGCATTATGCTGAGAAGGTGGCCAACATGGTGACAATATGTGGAATTATACATTGGTTTAGCCTCTGACCATGCCTGGGAGGGAGTATCCAGGTTGGGTTAGCCTCTGACCATGCCTGGGAGGGAGTATCCAGGTTGGGTTAGCCTCTGACCATGCCTGGGAGAGAGTATATTAATTAGGTAAGTAGACAGCACTCCCTGGACTCTGGTCCTGAACTGCATGAAAATGAGAGAGGGAGCTGGTGCCAGCATCCCTGGTTCTCTGATTTCCAACTGTGGATACAGTGTGAGCAGTTGCCTCCAGCTCCTGCCTCCAGGACTTTCCAGTCACGACTGTCATGACAGACTGTAGCTTATCACTATGCACCCAAATAAACCCTCTGCCTCCAAAGTTGCTTTTGTTGTCAGGATATTTTGTCACAGCGATGAAAAATAACCGAGGCAAAGCCCAAGCATATCAGGCCTTTGAGCAAAGCCTTTCTGCTTCCTCCAGCTGTGATCTCCAGCAGCTTTCAAGGACCTTGGTACAGATGTGTGTAGACCTCCTTGTGCTGCTCTTGTGATGCAGGGTTTAGCTTCCCAGACTGAAGTCCTAACCAAGACACTCCAAGAGCCACTTTATTAAAGGGAAAAGAGGAAACAGGATGAAAGAAAATGCTCCTTAGCAACCTTTTGAGATGCAACTTGGCAGCAACCAAGACATTGCTTCTAAGACACTAACGTATGAGTCTCTTGAGAATCTAAACCTCATCCTTGAGTATGTCTTATGTTTTCCTTGAGTACCTCTCTAAGCCCTGTGCTTAAGACTCTGCTGAAATCTCTAAGTAAACTCCAGCCCTGCTTCAACCTGACTTGTCCTGAAATTCTTATTTTTGTGACAAACATCACAAATCCCATCTTCCCTGGAGTAGAGATCACTGGAAAGAACCACTTGGGTCTCTGGCCCATGCCCCAACTGCTGCTGGCTCTGTCTGAGTTTAGTGGATGTTCTGTACATAATTGATAAAGTAGATGTAAGTGCATAAAAATGAACTTGAGGACATATTAATAAGACCATTTCCAATTTTAACATTTTCCTGTCTCAAAAAAAATAATGTAATGACGAATCTCCATATTCAAGAGGCCACAATTCCTTCCCTACTCACTCATTCTTTTCAAGATAAAATTTGTCACTTGTGCTCTTTGGGGACAGAGTTTTGGAAAGTCTCCAGTGCCTGTGTTAGTTGCCATCTTGGATACTCCAGCCAGCTAAGCAACGCAGGGAAGTTTGGCTTACAGTTGGGGCTTCCGGCTGGGATTGTTTATCCCTATTGCCTTGGGTCTGTGGGGAAGGCACATCAAGGCAGGAGCATGTGGGTGAGAGCTGCTTAAAGTAAGACTCAAGCCATCAAGGTAGGTAGAGGCCAGAGTTCTGTAGTCCCTTTGAGAACACCTGTGAGGACCCAAGGCTGTCACTTGGCTGTACCTCCAAATGGCTCCTTGACAGGCACTTTGAGGCAGCTGCTACAAAGCATCAGTTCCTCATTTGGGCCCATAGGTAACTGAACACAGGAAGAAAGCCTTTACTTTTCTTTTTCTTTTTCCTTTGTGTCAGACTCCTGCTTACCCCTGCAGTAGGCATGTCAATCTCTTAAGGTGTGTCTGTCATGTCGGGTGGGAGTGGGGGGGGGGTGGTTCAAGAAAACCATCCTAACACAGCCACCATCAGCCGGAGAAATTCCCTTCTCCTTAGGGACTTAGGCTCAGGTAAAGCTGGACCCTTGACTTGGCCACAGAAAGTCATTTTGGGATGAGCCAGAGTGGAGTGAAGTTAGTGAGTTTAATAGGCATTTAGGCAGGGATTCTTACAGGAAACCAGCAGTGAGTAACCTCAGAACAAAGATGTTGGTGTGTCTAGGGAGTAGGGATTTATGTGGCTGTATGTTTGATCTAAGGTTTTTTCAAGTTACATCATACAAAGGATGTAATTTTCAAGATGTAAAGATTAAGCAATGCTTAAAATGAAAGATTTTAAATTAATAGGAAAATGTGAGATAATATAGTTATTTTTTGTATCAATAATTTCTCTTTGCAAATGTAATTGTGAGGTATTTTTAAAGGTGCAGTGCTAGGATTTAGGGATAGATAAGAGAAGAGTATAATACAGTGGAACTCAAGGGCACAGACATTCTGGGCTTCAGTAAGTGTCATTCTCTTTTAATTATTTGATTTTTATTTTATGTGTATAGGAGTTGTGTTTTGTCTGCATATATGTCTGTGTGCTGTGTGCATGACTGGTGACCATGGATAGCAGAAGGCATCAGATCCTCTGGAACTGGAGTTACAGACAGTTGTGGGTTGGTTGTGAGCTACTATGTGGAAGGTGGGGGTGGGAATTGAACCCGGGTCTTCTGAAAGAGCAGCCAGATCTCTTAACCACCGAGCCGTCCTCATTTGTTGTTTTAAATATTCTTGTTTGAGATGCCTAAAGGCATTTTGACTTCACAAGTCCTGTTGAAGTTTCTGGGCTCTCGATAGGCAAGCTAGATCTTAGAGTGAGGACCTTTCTTCCTTTCTCGTGTCCATTTAACTTTTCCTGTCTTTCTATTTGCCTTGTGTTATTAGCCTATCTTACTCCCTTCAAGGATGAAAAGGCACAGAGACTCTTTATCGTCTTAAACCTGCAATCACTTTGAATTGCAGGAACAGCAGCGCCTCACGGGGCAGACCACCTCGCGGATGAAGGCTAGGCTGAAGCCTTGAACAAAAGTGATTGTTTCCTGAGATCTAGCTTGTCTCCATAAGCCATATGTCTTTCTTAGGCCACCCTGCAGAATCAGCCGAGACAGTGATCAACAGACTGTACCTCAACTTTGTGCATACCCTGTGCCCTTGTACCCCGATTCTCTCTCTGTTAAAACCTAGAGCTCATCACCAGTTCCCCGAAGGTGAAGTTGAAGAACCCCAGGTCTCTTCCTGGCATTCACTAGCTCTCTTTCCTCTGTCTTTTAGCGTCGCTGCTCTTTTTAATTGGCGCCTTGCAACTGCCCCTGAATGTGGGCAACGGCCCATCATCTAACAGTAGTACTACCCTGGGGACAAAGCCTTTAGCGCATGGGCATCAGGGGACATTCCTCATGAAGCCATGGTGATGTGGAGCTCTTGCTTTGTACAAGCAGTGGATATGTTTGGAAGATGAAAACTTCCATTCCATTTAGAAAAGCGTGAGGAATATAGTTGTGAGCACCTGCTGGGCTAGCTTTTTTTTGTTGTCCTGCAAGAGTTATTTTTTACAATTAACTATTTTCAGCAAGTAAATCAGGGAAAACATTTCATGAGTGTGCTTTAGTGACAATTACACACACACACACACACACACACACACACACCTACCTCAAGGGTTTCTTGGCAACCTCTGGGATTAATTAACTTTCAGTTTCTAAAAATGTATTGGGAGAAATAATGTAACTCCAGTGCTGAGAAACACTGCCCTGAGCTGTGCAGAGGCTGAAGCCAGGAAGCCTGTGTACGGCCTGTGTTTCCACTCTGAACAGAGCTAGCGATGGATTACAGGGAACCGATGCGGAGCGACTGCCTGGGCTGCAGTCAGCTCACAGACAGCAGTCTTGAACTGAGAAAAGGAAAGCTATCCCAGGCTGCCTGGGACCCAGTGCTTTTAGCCTCCCATTTTGAAATGTAGCCTCCAGCTACCACACAAAGAGCAGTCACAGGTTTACAAAAGGCAGTCATGAGGCCCCACGGATAACTGCGTGTCCCAGCATAGTCCCCTGGGTGGAGGTCGGGGATAGAGTGAGGCATGATGCGTGAGGAGGGAAGGAAGCAGAGTAGGCAATGATCTGAGTGGCTTTTCCACCCAGTGGCTGTCTCCACCATGCCCTGTCTTGTTTTTGCTGGGCCAGCTTTGTTGTTCTTTTCCTGCTCTGCATCAATTTGTGTGAAGGGAAGGCACGTGGTTTTTGTTGCTGATTTACTTACTGAAACAAGATCTCAAATAGACCTTGCTGGCTTTGAAGTTATTATGTTGCCAAGACTGGCTTTGAACTTCTGATCCTTCACCTCCCGAGTGTCGTGAGTACAGATATTTGCCACCGTGCCTGATTTAGGGGATCACACTCAGGGCTTCCTGGATGATAGGAAAGCCCTGTCTACTGAGCCTCATCCCCAGCCCCTGGCAGAAGGATCTAAGCTTTGATCTAAATAAGCGTGGATTCTTCAGGGTTAGGCTCAGGTTCTTGGAGTAGTGCCTTCTGTGGCTCTGTTAGAGTTGAGAACTATACCTCTGCAAAGTTGTTGGTGGCTCCACTAACTTAGCATGAGAATCCAGTAGTTAGGCAGGGGAGTGAGTGTGTGTGAGGACTGCTTGTCATGTGAAAGTACAATGGTAGCATTGTGTTTGGGTCCTCTGTTCTGCACTGCTGAGATGATAGGTTGTCAAATATTCTACAGACTCCAGGGATCGCCTCGAGGGGCTCAGAAGTCCTGAGTCTGTTTGCTTTAGACGATGCATCTTCTTATCTACTATCTGGGAAAAGTTTCATTTGAAGCTAGAGATCCATGACTTCTAGTGAGGCTGGGGGCCACTGATACAGCTGGAGTTAGTTTTGCCGGTGAGGATGAAGGACTTGGAGCAGACAAGCATGGTGGTACAGTGGTCAGCTCCACACTGCTGAGGGTGATGGAGTGAGAGGAAACACTGGGAACAGACTGGCTTGAACTAAGCAGAATGGCGCTCACCACAGCCCCCCCCCGCCCCCCGAGGCTGCCCCAGGTGTCTGTCTGGAGCCTGAGGATTTTGGGTCTTTTTCGTCTCAGCTCTGTAACTCATGTGATGGTATAGCCTAGGTACCAGAGTGGAAAGGTTTCTGACGGATGATGGAAGCTTCTTACTTGTCTTCCTTTTCAGTGCACTTACATCTCAATCGACCAAGTTCCCAGGACCCACGCCATCGTGATAAGCAGACCTGCCTGGCTCTGGGGGGCAGAAATGGGAGCCAATGAACATGGAGTATGCATAGCTAATGAAGCCATCAATGCCAGAGAACCAGCTGCTGAGACAGAAGCCTTACTGGGGATGGACCTGGTCAGGTATGGAATAATGATTCTTTGAAATGACTGTCAATAGGAGTGGGAATTACTTTCTCCTGTACTTACTGTACCGTAAGAAGTTCTATTCAATAGAAATCCTAAGATGATGGGAAAAAATGGAATAGATGATAATGAATATTACTAATCAATAAAAATAATTAAGTATTGCTATGTGTTATGAATGGGATTTTGAGAACATGATATACACTAAGTGAAAGGCATCAGATACAAATGTCACATACTTGAGTCACAGAAGTGACCACATGGATGAGTACGTAAACCATAAATAATACCGAAAGTGTAAAATAATGTGAAGTTTCACAGCTTACATTTTGAATGTCAATTTTAACTGAACAGCACAATTCCAAGGGTGACTGAAGGTGACAGAGAGGGGAACGGGGAATTCTGAGATGTGATGTTACCCAAGTGGTACAAAATACCAGGGCTATCCCTTCACAGACATTTCCGGTATGAATTCCAGGGTTAGCCCTCCATAGACTAGGGTGTTTGGAGACTCTGTGTCTGGTACCTTTGGGATGTTAATGGTGGATGGGCTCCATGTGGATCTGTAGGACTGAAGGATGGAGATATAGGAGCTATATTTGGTGGATAATTGGTGCTGTGAGAGTTATCAAGGTCTGGGGTAATAAAAAATGTAGGAGTTGATTGATAGCTGAGCAATAGCCATTTAAATTGACGTCTCCCCCTGGCCAGCACATATGTGTTACAATAAGAACAGTGTGACCAATACTCTGAGCCTGGTGGCAGCTGCTTGGAGGGAGTGCACAGTCTGTATCTGGAGTAGATTTCTAAATTCAGGGTCTGGTCCCAGCTTTAAACCGGCGAAGCCAAGTCTTTCATACTAAGCAAGTCCCGTGAGTGACTCCTGAGCCCAGAGTCCTCCAGGGAAGCTGTAGAGATGTAGATGCTGCAGACAGTGGTTCTCAGCCTTCCTAATGCTGTGACTCTTTAGCACAGTTCCTCATGTCGTGGTGACCCCAGCTATAAAATTATTGCCATTGCTCCTTCATAACTGTATTTGCTACTGTTATGAATGTAATGTAAATATCTGTGTTTTCTGATGGTCTTAGGCAACCCCTGTGAAAAGGTCCTTGATCCCTTCCCCAGTGGTGTCATGACTCACAGGGTGAGGCCACTGATGTAGGTCACAACCACAGCACTGTGAGGGGCAAAATTCTAGGGCAGCTGTTCTAAAAGCACGGCCTGCTAGGAGACACATTCACAACACCCCCCCCCATGCCCACGTGACTGCACTGGGGTTGGCCCACAGTCTACCTCAGCAGGCAGATGGAGCATAAGGTAAAGAATATACTGTTGCACAGCTGGAGATTGCCTTCCAGCTGGGCTGTCAGCACCATCTTTTCTTGCACTGTCCTTGTTTGTCCTCTGTGCTACGCTGCCAGCTTCTTGGGCAGCTCCCGGAAGCGCAGACAGACTATTTATATTTCACACCCTACTTAAGTGTCTGTGAGACGGTCTGAGTATTCAAAGACTATAGCTGCTCCCACCCGCATACTCCGGTCCTTTGTGCCTTCCATCCCTATGTTAAGGCTAAGCTCAGCTCTAAGAGATGTAACTGAGTGACAGCCTCCATTTAATAGGCACTGTCTTCAGGGTAAAGGTATAATTTGTATGTGTTTCTTAAAGGCATGTAGGAATGCAAGCATTAAGCAACACGTTATAATTCATTATTAGTGCTAAAGCCAAGCTGTGTCTGTCTGGTTTCACTGGTCCCCCCCCCCACCTTCCCTTCTTTTGTCCCTGACTCACCCCTTCCTCTCTCCCTCCCTCCCCCCCATTTCTTCCTTCCTTCTCCCTCCCTGTCTGGATCTTCATCCCTCCCTCCATCTTTCTTATTTATGGATGTCTGGCTAGCCCTCCCGCAGCAACAGCACCTCACCTCCTGCACATATGAACACATATACTTGCTTTGCTTGTTTATTGGCTGGGGGTCCAGCTTGTTGAAGCTAACATAAGATAGGAAGTTAGCAGCTGGCAGGAGCTAACTTTAAGATAGGGGATTAGCAGCTGGTGGCAGCTAACATTAAGATGGGGGGTATTTTCTGGGAGTCAAGGTGTCTCTTACACCCGAGGTCCATAACATCTGAGGTCTGCCTTTCCCCATGATGCCTCCTGGCCTCAATCCAGATAAGGATCAGGAGGCATTTGGATCCCATTAGACAGTGGTATTCTGGGAAATACCTAATAATCAGCTAGAAGTGAGTGGCAGCCTTAAACTGTGGCCTTTCCAACACCTGTGGTGTAAAAACTCCAACCATGATAGATTTGAGGATGATGAAGGATTAGCAACTAGCTCAGAAATCCCTCAAATTTAACCCTCTGTTCTCCAAGCAGGCAGGTTCTGGCCAGCTGCACAGAACACTGCATTCTGTCCATCCCCTGTGTCTGTCCCTTACACAACAGCTTCATCCTTTTATTTTTCTACAGAGCAATCCTCCCTTCATTCCCGCCCCCCTCTCTGTGTATGTGTGTGGTGTGTGTGTGTGTATGTGTGTGGTGTGTATGCATATGGAGGTCCAAGGTTGATGTTTGGAACCTTCCCATAACCCTCTGCTACCTCATACCATTAGGGCAGGTCTCTCAGTAAGACCCAGAGCTTTCCAGCATGGCTAGCCTCACAGCCAGCTTGCTCTGGGTATTCCTCTGTCTTTGAATTCCTGGGGGGTAGTGGTGGTGCTGAAATTACAGGTGATCAGCCAGTACTACATGATATCTGAACTCCGGTCCTCTGAGCCATCCCCATGTAGACTGATTTGTCCTGCTTCTGACTGGGTTTAATGTTGGCACTAAACCCGGTCACTCTCAGTGTTTCAGAGCATCAAGTGCTCCCCATAGCAGAAAAAAATTGGAAAAGCTTTTGGTTTTATAGCAGGTTGTAAGTGAATATAGGAGCCCACAGGTGACGGAAAGGAGGCTCAGTCAATACCTGCACGAAAGCACCTGTGTAATTAAAGCTACAGTTTCCTGAACTCTCTTGGGAAACTGGCTTTATATATGTGTTATCTCATTTAAAAATCACAGCGCTCCAATTAGATCTTCCAATTCCTTATGGTAGATGAGGAAACTGGAAATTAGGGAAGTTAAGTTGCTTGCCCAGTGTCCCGGGGCTAAAAGGGGCTGAGCTAGGAATACCAGGGTACCGCTTCTCTCTAATTAGATCATGCTTTACCTCTCCCAGTGAGGCAGAACACTGAAATGGAAAGGAGTCAAAAGGTCTCCAACACCCCCTCCCCTGTCAGAAGATGAGATGGCAACAGATTTAGTTTTAGACCGAGTTGGCGTTTGTTCGTGATGCATGAATCAGGGCAGCCTTCATTCTGGAAAGCAGAATAAGCTTCCAGCAGGCCAGAGTGGAACATTAGCTTTTACAGAGTGGAAAAGGGGAAACACAGCAACATGGGGAAGAAAAAGGAACCCACTAACATTAGGTGGCTTCAGGTTACTTTCCTGTAAGAGTCGCAGTTACAGGGACTTTCTTATGCTGACTCACACAGAATAGAATCTATTGTTCGTTAAAGAGAGGCAAGAGTGGGTATCTCTGCCTTCAAAAGCTCCAGTTCTGGGCCATCTAGCACAGGAAGCTCCAGTTTGGGCTGGTCAGCTGAGGCCTGTTGCAGCAGCTCAATCCAAAACAACTCCATACATTTTAAAGGTCAAGCTCACACAGCACATAGCATCCACTTAACACATTTCTTAGTCTGTTCAGAGCGTCATAACAAATTCATAACAGACTGGGAGATTTAAATGACAGATATTTATATCTTAGTTTTGGAGGCTGGAAAGTTCAAGAACACAATGCCACCAGGTCCCATTCGAGGTACAACTGACCACAGCAGAGAGAGGACAGCCTTTTCTGTCTCTTTGCCATGGGTCCTGATATCACCACAAAGACTCCATCCTCATGGCCACTTCCAACAAGCTTCAATCGCCACCACACAGGGCAAGTGGCTTTAGCATTTGAAAATGGGCACAAACTTTCTATTCATAGCATCATTCTATGCCCATCCCTTTCTGAGAATCTTCTTAATGTCCAAAAGGCCACAAACTAGAGGGATGAGGATGCCTTGGAAGGAAGTGGAGAGGCTAACTTGTTACAGAGCCCTCTAAGAACAGTGTTCTTTAGGAACAGGACCCTCTAGCATGTGCTATCAATTCTTTTCATTATTTGAAAAGCAGTGGTTTACCAAACTCAATCCAGTTTTTAACTAGTTTCTCTTACTTGGAGCACAGAGAGGAGCCCTTTGAGGGAGGAAGGGAGGTCTCAGACAACAGTTTGAAACCTGGCTGCCCTATTTATGAAACCCAAGGTTCAGCATTCTCTTTTATTATTCTCACAAGGCCCTAGGGTTCAACTCTGTAAATTATGGCTCTGTAATCAAGTCTTCCTGAATAAACTTAAAAGGAGACCTGTCAAGCAAATTGGTATATGATGCTCTGACTATGGAATAATCCCATTACAGGGTTCAGTCCACAGCTGGAAGTTGCATTATCCTTTCTTCTCCATGACAGCACAGTGGGGCATCCCTTAGGAAGGATTCAATTGGGAGAATTTAAACAGTCATCACTTCTCAAGTCATGAATTTGTCAAGGCTTATGTCACCACCTAAGTAGCTCTGTTGCCTTCTTCTAAGATGTGAGCTCCTACAAGCAGAGCAATAGTCCAACTGAATGGACGAATAAATGAATTAGATGCCTCTCATGTGCTCTTTTCTGTCATCTCAGAGGGAGGTATTAGTGTGAGCACATTGCCAGCATGAACCTAAGAAGCTGGAAAGGTCACACGACTAAGGCATATTGCCATCTGGGTCCTTGCTCTCTGAGTGTGCCACAGCCTTCTACCTGCTGGAGTTGTTTACTAGTTTGGCTCCAGCCACTAGTGCTATATGTTTTCATCTTTATTATCTTATAACACCTTGACAACCTTGACACTTTTCATAGATGGCACAAGACTGAAGTTCAAATCTATTATGTAAGCTGCCCAAAGTCACGCAAAAGGCAGTGTCTGTATTCTCCTTAACAGAATTACTCATTGATAGGGTTGGGGAAGGAAGATAGATGGCTCATGTTAGAAGGAGTCTATGTTCTTTTGATAGTTGATGCTGTAAGCAGCATCAGGTAATATAGGAGCAAAGTATGTAGAAAAAGAATCTGTTTCTAATGAGATCTCTGAGCAAATTATATCTACAGAGGATAATGGATGGCAAACAAACCTTAGAACTAGTTTTACCCATCCACTATAGAATGCTATAACAAAAAAAAAAAAAAAAAAAAAAAAAAAAAACTTAAACAGGGTAGTTATAAACAATAGCAGTGAATTGCTCATAGTTTTTGAAACAAGGAGATCAAGATCAAGTTGCCAGTATTTAATGTCTAGTGTTGATGCATTCTGATTCATACACAGTACCCACTTACGGTGTCCTCCAATGGTGGAATGAAGTCAAACAGCAATCTGAGCAGTCCCCCCCCCCCTTTTTTGTAAAGGATACTAGTGGCACTCATGAGGATACCACCCCCATGACTTCATCATCTCCCAGAAGACCCACTTCCTAATACCATCTCATGGGTGTTAGAATTTCAACATGAATGTTAAGGAAACAAACAGGCTAAAGCAGTATCTAAAGCACTCACTGTAGGATAAAAGTTGACCCAAGCTGTGGAGATCTCCTTTTCCTTAGGCAGTAGTCAGGAGGAAATCCAGGCTGGAGCTGAGCTTGGCAGGTGATATGGTCAGCCAAGAGTAAGGGGGGGCTGACTTTCCAGTCCAGGGAGTGCAGCCACTGGCCCCTCATATGTCTATTCTTATGGAGGGGGGTTGAATAAAGACAACACATTCCTATAGTTTGTATTGGATATGGGAGATAGGCATTCTGAGTTAAAGTACTATTAATTAGTTCATATATTGATCTGAATATTTAAAATGTTTCTTGACATGATCTTGTCCCAACCTTTGGTTGCTATGGTAATGATCATCTTGTTACGTGCAGTTTTTCCACCAACCTGGTCCCACAGCTGCATTAGCGCCAAATAACATGCAGAGACACTGTATTAGATATAAAGCTATTGGCCTGTTACTAGTGTTTCTTAATGGCTAGCTCTGTCTTAAATATTAACCCATTTCTATTAATCTAAGTATTCCCATGTGGTCTGCTCCCTCAAGTCTCTACATCATGAAACTCCTACTACATCTTCCAGAATCCTCTTTGTCTCCTAGTCCTACCTATCTTGTTTTCCTATTTGCCAACAGTGCTTTATTCATTAACCAATAAGAGAAACATATTTACTGAATGACATCTCCTATCATCACCTGGTCTGAAATGACAGAGGTATACTTCTGATCTTCTTCAGGCTTGGTTTAGAACGAGGGACAACAGCTAAAGAAGCCTTAAATGTCATTGTCTCCTTGTTGGATGAGCATGGACAAGGTGGGAATTATTATGAAGATGCCCACTCCTGCCACAGCTTCCAAAGTGCATACCTGCTGGTGGACCGTGACGAAGCCTGGGTGCTGGAGACTGTAGGGAAGTATTGGGCCGCCGAGAGGATTACAGGTGAGGGGGTTGCAGGATAGAGTTTTAACACTACGACAGGCTGAGGTGATGCTGGTTGGACATGCTGAGCTGGCTCAGATGAGCTAGGATGCTGTGGTACATTCTCTGATCTTCAGGCTTAGGCATGCCTCTCACGTCCAGGCATCTGTTTCCAGAGATGTATCTGGGGTCTACTGAATCCTGTGAAGGAATATCAAGACTCAGGAAGTACACACCTAACTTTTTGTAGCCCCTGTTTGCTTTTTGGATATATCTAGCTTTGACTACAAACCATGACTATGAGTTAGGCAAGGGAATGGGGAGTCTTCATTCATAACAGGTCAACAAATCCCTTGTCACTCTCAGCTCCATAGCTACTTAAGACTGTCCCTCTGAAACGGGAACTTGGCTCTGTGAGGACTATTGAGATTCCATCCCTAGAAGAGCATGGACTTGGCCATCTACATGAAAAGTGCCACTCTAGCTTATGTAGCTTCTTGCTTCCCGGGCAGGGCTGAGACTCCAGCACCCTCCCTCAGAATCCCAATGGCATAGGGTGCTAGAATTGGTTAAAGGATGTCTAAAGAAATACTCCAAAGAAAGCTGGTCAATGGCAGTTTCCTTTCAAGCCTTGGGACAGGTTGAAAACTGCACACCATGTGCACTGCCCAGGTCGCCCCAGCTAGAATACAATCCCACTAGTATCTTGTTGAACCTCTACATGGCTGCATGTTTTTTTCAGCATACTTTTTACCATGAAGTCTTTAGCAGTTAATTATGGAAGATATTAGATATGCAACCTGTTTGCTACCCTAGTTTTTAGGTAATCAGAACCAAATCCGACCTGAGCCAGTCTCCTACGATCACTGGGAGTCAAGCCTGATTTTGTGTACAGGTTCCAGTGACCAAAGCTCCCTCAAGACCAGTGTGTGCTCCCTGTCTAAAGTTGCCCTGCTGAGACCAAGAAATCTAGACCAGATTCCTGTGTGTGTGAAGACTGTCTGCTCATTCTAACAGGAAGTGGAATGGGCTAGCAAAGCCACCAGCAGCACAGGGAGCTCTTCTATGTCCTTGTGCCCAGCACAAGTCTCTCAGGCCTGTGCATGCTCCCTTTCCAGGCCTTAGAGTGTTTGCAAATCAAAAGCCCCTCCTCCAGACCTCAGCTCTCCTTCCCTGCAGGAACTTAAAACTCCTTTACAGAAGCTCTCCTAATATACACTGATGTTATCAGATGGCTCTCCCAGGAAGGCCTGTGGACTGTGCTTCAAAGCAGTCCAATTGCTTTTAAGTAGAATCGAAGACTTTTTGATCTGTAGTTACATTTCAGAAGCTGAACTCCCTTCAAAGCATCACTTATAAAAGTCCATCTCTACAAAACGAGTGTTGTTTTTCACTAACAATTTTTTTTCAGCAGCCATTTTTTTTTACTCATTGATTTCCTGCTCTCTGATCCCAGCAGCACTGTGATTGATGTTGATAGGAGTTAACACACTGTCCTCAAAGTTCTGATTCTTAAAAACAGATGTCTACTGTAAATCAGCCCTCTAGGAAAATAACATCTGTGGAATACACAAGAACTCTCCTTTGAATAGCTTAGCATGAATGGCATCAAATTCACTTGTTTGCACCATAACTGTTTTCTGTTGCTTAATTAAATTTGGTATTAGTGATACCCTCTGAAAAAAATGGATGGCCAATGGCCAGTGCCTCTCAGTCAGGGACGCATATTTTGGAGGTGTAAGTGGTCAAAGCAAGGCATCCTGGGAAAACTCAGTCCAGCTGATTTTGCTTCTAGGGACCCAGAGTCGGACAGCAAGGGCTCTACTGTAGTGGGTTTCAGGCAGTAAGAGGTCCGGTGTACCTTCTTCTTTCATTCTCTAAGAATTTGGAAGCTCATTGTGCTCCCCAGGAGCAGCCTCTGTGAACAGCCCTTTTGAGCTAGCAGTGCTAACCTGGCCTCGATAATCTAGACAGCCCCTTGAAGCTTAGGGACCAAGTCGCCCTTCATCTGTGTGGGTGTGTAATGGTGGGGTGACATGAGTGCTCCTCGAGGAGGAGCCTGCGGATGTAGTGGAGTAGCCCTGTATAGCAGCAGTTCTCAACCTTCCTAATGCTGTGATCCTTCAGTACAGTTCCTCAGTTGTAGAACCCCCCGAACCATAAAATTATTTTCATTGCTACTTCATAACTGTAATTTTACTAATGTTCTGAATCGTAATGCAAGCATATGCTATTCGGGGTACCTAATATGCAACCCTCAATGGGACTACGGCCCACAGGTGGAGAACCATTGCTGTAGCAGGGTCACATATGGATTCCCCAAGTGTCCTGAGCACAGCAAGACACTCAAAGAACCACACAATTCTCCTGTAAACATGAACGCTTAGGGCTTATTTGGTTCAAAAAGGGCCTTGAGGGTTTTATTTTGTTTGTGAATTTAAGCCTAGCAAGGCTGATGTCCATCTAAGCTGTGATAATGTCTGATGGAGACAGGGTAAACCTTTTAGGATGCCTCCTGAAGAAAGGACCAAGGATTTCACGTGTCTCTCTTCAGAGATAGAACTGATTCTCCCTGTAGTCTTGGGGTTCCTCCCGCTAACCACACATCAAACTCTTTGCAGAGGGAGTGAGGTGCATCTGTAATCAGCTTTCACTCACCACTAAGATGGATGAGGAACACCCAGAACTCAGGACTTACGCTCAGAGTCAAGGCTGGTGGACGGGAGAGGATGAATTCAACTTTGCCCAGGTTTTTTCTCCAGCCGATGACCATTTGGACTGCTGCGCAGGCAAAGACAGCTTAGAAAAGCAAGAGGGTAAGTTGACCTGTCCCTTATGCTCTTTGGTTCTCTATCAAACTTTAGAGGGTCAACAAAGGGGAGGAGTAGAGAGTAAGCTTTGCATGTTAAAGACCGGCTTATGCGTTCTGTCCTTGGTGTGCAGCAAGGAGACAGCATGTATGTCTCCTACAGGAGACACCTGTAGGAACCTGGGGGGGGGGTTTATGCCCATTGATGTGAGCACTGCTGTCATGTGAGCCTTTGTGGGACTCACTGCAGCCTTCCTTATAGCTCCAGAAACTTAGGAGTGCCCCTCTTCCCCAGGCCACTTAGCCTGCAGGAGAAGCCTTCTGCTGATTTTGAGGCCCTCCCATGGTGTGTGGGTACTGCTTCTATGCATGACCTTCTGCAGTGGACTGCAAACTGGATTCTCTTTATAGCCCATTTAGTAATGCCGTACATCACTAAATTCTTATTAAAAAGCCATATTTAGGTAAATGTGTTGAACAAATAGCTCCTTGTTTATATGTGTGAATAGAAACTGCCCCCAGGCCTATAATGGTCTCATTTTGTATTTGCTAATTCTCATGCATATGTGTCAACCAACAAATCATTTAGAACTAATGGCTGCAAAGTATATCTTCAAGCAGCCATTTCTTTTGTGAATAAAGTCTTATTGGAAAACGTCCATATTATGCTAGTAGGTTTTCTTATCATTGTAGCAAAATTACAGAGATTAAAAAAAAAAAAAAAAAAAAAAAAAAAGACTTACCAGGAGAAAAGCTTTACTTTGAGTTGTAGATTCAGATATTTTGGTGCATGATCAGTTGCTCTGTTGCTTTTGGGTCTGAGGTGGGAGCATGTGTCATGGCAGCAGAATCATGTTGAATGAGATGCTTACCTCATGATGGCCAGGAAGCAACTAAAGTGTGTGGGGGGTGGGGCAGGCAGAGTCCTAATATCTCTCTTCAAGACCACACCCACAACAAACCCATCTTTCTTATATTAGGTCCTCTAATGTCACAATAGCATCATAGCCTGAGGACCAGGCCTTCAGCACTTGGGCCTTTGGGGGACATTCCAAGTCAAACTGCAACACAAACTCACTTTGTTATGTATTGTCTATGACCACCTTCGTCCTTTACCACTGGAGTTGAATTGCTACGGGGACAGTGTGATGGAGTACAAATGGTCCAGAGGCTTAAAATATTTTCTGTCTGGCTCTTTAAAAAAATGTTTTCTGATCCTTGATGTAGAATATTGCTTTGGCATTTTGCTGTAGAAATTATTACATGTAAAGGCAGAGAAGTATTCATTTGTAAGTGGGAATTCTTGAAAAAGTTCTAAAGATTTTAAGCTAAAACAAAACTAGTGATGATATTATTTATCCTGGTCAAACATCAGCCCTGAATTGGCCCTAGTTAACCAGAAGCAGAGGGAGAAGGAGCATGTTATAACTCCAGGGGGCACCACCTGCCCAGCCCAGAAACCATGGAGAAACATGGCAGGGACTAAGCAAAGCGAAGAAATAAAAGGCAGAAAATGTCAAAGATGTACCAACCTATCAGAGACAGATTCAATTAATACAACAGTTATTTGTGAGGCAGGAAATCCAGACATCAAGTAGGTAATGAAATCAAAGCCATTGCTGATATTTTGTGTAAAATGTAAATGGAGATTTACAAAGAGTGCCTGCATCATACAGGGAACCCATCTTTGTGCGCACAGGTGAAAAGTGGGGTTGCTGGTTTACATGCTTGTTTTTGGTTCTTTGGGGAGGGTTTTGAGGAAGACTGAATTTATCACAGGTTCTGACCTGGAGCCCCAGGCTGGTCAGCTGCTTCCCCGCACAGCCACCAAGTTTTGGTTTGGGTATCTTTTGGTTTTGTCTTTTAAGAAAGGTTTCCCTGTTTAGCCCAGGCTGTCCTGGAACTAACTATGTAGGCCAGGCTGGTCTCAAATGAGTGCTCCTCCTGCTTCAGCCATGAATGCTGAGGTTACAGGCATGAGCCACCACATCCAGCCGAAAGGCTGCTTTATAGCCACAGGAGGACATGATGGAAGGGGGTCATGCGTGGCCAGGGACTTAATCCACTCACCTGAATTGCAGCCAGTTGTCCTGAAGACTGAGAGCGCTACAAGCTCCTCTGTGTGTTTCACACTGCCGAGTGGCCATCCTTCAAATAGTATCCGTACCCAGAACAGCAAACAGGCATGAGATGAGGGTGTGAGGTGCCACACAGTTTCCTGTGTGTGTTCAATCTTTGCACTGGTTGAGGTAGAGGTAAGGCTACAACACAGAGATCTGAATTGTTATGGAATTGTTAAAGGAAATGGAAGCTATTTCTTTCCCACATTAGCATCAATGTGGATAGAGACAATCCGGGACCGGGGAATTTTCTGTTCAACTCTGGGCTGCAGCGTGTGAACTGCTCGTTGACCTCTCGCACTGGCAGGAAAGCTGAAGGAAAAAGCGAAGGGCAAAACATGGGTGTGACCGGAGATGTGGTGCGCAAACATCACTTCTGCTCCTCTCCCCTTGGCCAGAGCATGTCAGGGCAAGTGGGCTTACGTTCAGTAGTTGAAGAGAGAAGAAGGAGAGTCAGTTTTGGTTGCCAGCCATCCTTCACAGTTATTCTCCCTCTCTCTCTCCCTCTCCCTCACCCTCTTCCTCTCCCTTGTCCTCCCCCTCTCCCTCTCCCTCTCTCAGAAAGCATCACTGTGCAGACGATGATTAACATCTTACGAGACAAAGCCAGTGGAGTCTGCATAGACTCCGAGTCTTTCCTCACTACCGCCAGTATCGTGTCTGTCCTGCCTCAGAACAGAAGTTCACCGTGCATCCACTACTTCACTGGGACCCCGGATCCATCCAGGTTAGTCTAAGGCACATCAGAAGGCGTGAGCTCCTGGCCACGTCCTTCCCTTGGGTGGTGGGGTGCTTGACTGCAGCCGCAGTGTTCACTCTAGTCACTGGACCTGGTTATTGTTGTAGAGTACAGATCATGGGCCAAGCATTGTGTTACAGATGAAGATGCAAAGGTGCGCGTAACACAGCAAGGCCCAGATGCAGGGATGCCCGAGGTTTACAACGACAACTAGTTCTTGTGAGATACTGGACAAAATGGTCCAGGGATGATACATAGGGAAGTACCTGCCATTTTTTTTTTTTTTTTGACATGTTTAGAGAGCTGCTTTCTGCCACTTACTTCAGCAGAGAGTCAGTACTGCAGGGTGCTGAAGCACATCCTCTAGGAGGAAGAGTCAGGGTTTTGGGTTCCCTCTACCTCAGTAACCTTCAGCTTTTGTAATTATGGTGGGATAGTCCTAGCCCCTACCTTTGTGTTTCTGACAGGACTAAACAAGACAAACGGATAATTCATAGTAGATTGATCAATTATTTATAAAGACCATCTTTGTTTTACCAGGCAGACGGTAGCCCTGGTAGCATTCAGTTGTGCAGTCCCAGATCGTGTGACCAGTAGCTTAGACCCAATCAGCCAGAGGCTTCTAACCCTGGGGCACATGAGGACAGTCTGAAACGTACAGATGCCTTGACCCAAACCTACCTCACCAGAATGTGAGCAGTAGGCCCTAGAACCTGTCAGCTAGCTGATCCCCAGCAGGGAAACTTCCAGGAGATGCTGATGCTCTCAGGTGTCACGCGGGTGGGCACCCTGAGCATTGTTTAAATGTCAGTTGTTAAGCTGCCGAAGAACCCACTGCTGCTACAATCCAGTCCTTTTGCAATGGAAATATTTTCAATGCCGGTCTTCTGCCTTTCAGATGGCATGAGTACCTCTTGACCGTTTAGCTTTATTCTTATCAACACCGGAAGATACTTCTGGCAATACACAGCTCTTTCATATCCCGTTACCAATCGTCAGGTGCTTGCTACATACCAAATATTGTACTTGGGGATGGAGTGCGTATAAGGGAAGAGGTAGTAAGGATGTGGTGATGAAGGGCAGAACCTTGTAGAGGAAAGAATTTTAAGCCCTAGACAAGATGGGATTCAGTAGACACAAGAAGCAGAATAACATTCTGCATAGGCATGGCCTCCCCTCCCCTCCCCTATCCCCCCTCTACTTCCCTTCTCTCCTTTCCTCCCACTCCCCTCTCTTCCCTTCCATTTCATTCCCTTTTCTCTTCTCCATTTCTCTCCTCTTTATTTCCCTTCCCCTCCTCTCCTTTTCTCTGTCCCTTCCTCTCCCTTCCCTCTTCTCTCCTTTCCTAACCCCTCTTCCCTCTCCTCCCCACCAGTCTCCCACATCTAGCATCACAGGTCTGCACCATCAGAACTGGCTGGGTGTGCACCTTCTTGTTTACGAGGCTGGTGATTAGGTTAGTCCCTTCCCTACCTTCTGCTCACCAGGCTCAGCCGTGTTCATGGTTCTGCTGCTGGACCATTCCTGCCCTCTGTCTGGGTCATCCCCCATCCCTGACTCCGCCTGCTCAATCTTGATCTTATCCCCACCTTCCTCTATGTTTTGGCCCAGCAGATCCTGTTTTCACATCTCTTTGTGTCCAGGTCCCTCCTAATAGGCTAAAACTTGTCTCCCAAGGACTCTGTGGGCCTATGGGGTCCTTCAGGGACAGTGAGAATTTTGTTTCTAAGTCTGGAGTATTCTGCCAAGGTGTTCAAGGTGTACTCCTCTTTAGGAAGCAGGAGTCTTTCAAGTAGTGGGGCTGGCTGGACCATGCTCCAGGGCCTTGCTATGTAGAGGCCCTGCTCTGACTTTGCATAGGATGTGAGACTTTTCATCTCCAGCGCACTCAGAGAAAGGAAGTCTATTGCCCAGGCTGAAGCAGGCTGCTTAATCCAATTATAGAAATGGGTTGTGAAATCACCTTCTGGTCCTAAATGGAAACCTTAAAGTAGATTTAAAAGAAAATTATTCATGGCTAAATTAATTGGAAAGACCTTGCAGAAGATTGCAGTCCTTTGAGAAGACAGCTCAGCGTTGTCTTCCATGGTGAAATGAGCCGTGGCACCCACTGTGACTCCTCAGGACTGCTGTTAGTTCTCATCCTGTTTGGCGTCTCCATGCTTCTTTGTAATTGCGGATGCTGAACACTTGTCTTTTGTCATCCGGTACTGTAGTTAAGGCAATCGCAGCTGACTTCTGCTAGAATTAACATGTAGAGATGTTTTGAGAAAATGAATTGCTCCTCCCAGTTGATATCAGGACCAGTGGAAAGGCTCTGCCTGGGCTCCGTCTGCTTGTTTCTTTTCTGTCATGTCCACACATTAATCCACAGTTCATAGCTGGTTTTCACAAATGACTTTTCCCTTCATCCCTCCATCTCCCATGCCATTTCCTCTCATGTGCTAGGCTCGGTGTAAATTTGAGAGTGAATCAGAACCAGCATTTGAGTGCTTGAGGGAGAGGCAACGACCCGATAATCAAGTTTACCAAGGAGACTAATTCTAGCATGTTACTTCTCTGCTGAGTCAGGAGTCTCTTCACCTACTGACAGAGCGATGCTGGCTGGCTTTGGGGGAACCAGCTCTGACCCATAAGAGCCATTTCCTGAGAAACCAGTACTTGTTGACACTCCACTAATGTGACAGGTTGGGAGGAAAAGAATATTTAAAAAGGTACCTTGGCTCTGTAAGACTGTCAAGTGTAGACTTTTGAGGTATGTGGCAGCCAGAGAGAGTACTTGTGCTTGTCAATGACATCCCATGCACTGTGACGTCTTTGGTGGCTCTAAATGGGCCACAGAGAGAACATTTACACCTCGGAAGTCAGCAAACACCACAAATCTGAGTTTATTTCTTTTGAGAGATGTAGTTGTTAGACTGGGACGGCACTGAGAGGCCATGGATGTAGGCAAGCCCAGACAGCCTCAAGGATGGGGAAACCAAAGGGGAGAAGATACAGTCACCTCAACAGCAGAGACGATGCTGAGAGATGGAAGGAACAGCACCCCCCCCAAAGGACTGGCCCAAATTGTACCATTGGGGTAATTGTCAGCCTTAGGTGGTACCTGTTTGTTCCTAGAGGAAGTACAGAAGGCCTTGGAGTCCACAGGGCACAACCAGCACAATATATATGGAGTGGAGGGCCCTGGACCAAATGGCACCCACATCCTGTTCAGTCCCGTTCTGAATCCCTCCGATACTATCCCTCTCCTCTTTACCTATTCTACTTCTGACCTTCCAAAATGCCTCCAAGCTCTGGCTCTAGCCCACTGTCCACAGGGCTGTCCTGTGCTCCCCAAATTCAGCTCTCCTTCTCAGTGCTCCTATGCAATGCTCCTTCCCAGTGCTCCTGAACAAATCTCCTCCACAGTACTCCCAGGCAATGTCCCTTCCCAGTGTTCCTGTACAATGTCCCCAGTGACCCTGCACAATGTCCCTTCCCAGTGCTCCTACACAATGACCCTTCCCAGTGTCCCTGTACAATGTCCCAGTGCCCCTACACAATGTCCCTTCCCAGTGCCCCTACACAATGTCCCTTCCCAGTGTCCCTGTACAATGTCCCAGTGCCCCTACACAATGTCCCTTCCCAGTGCCCCTACACAATGTCCCTTCCCAGTGTTCCTGTACCATGTCCCCAGTGCTCCTACACAATGTCCCTTCCCAGTGTCCCTGTACAATGTCCCCAGTGCTCCTACACAATGTCCTTTTTCAGTGTTCCCATGCTCCTTCTTAGTGCTCCTGTACAATGTTCCCAATGCTCCTGCACAGTGCAAGCTCCTTTACTGAGTGGTTCTGATCTCAGCCGACAGTAAGATTAGAGTCATATGCCCGCAGATGAGCCATTTAGAAAGATGGCTACCCTTTTGAGAGAAACTGGTCAGTCTAGGCAGGTTTTCCTCACAGTGGGGTCAGGGTTGAATAGATTCATTTGAGCTAGGGCCTGTGCATTGTCCCTTTCTGTGTCTCCTGTCCCTCAGGGACTTTGGTCACAAGATGAGTCCAGCATAGCCACTTGGGGAGTGTCTCTTTCTTCAGCAAGAACAAAGATGTGTCTGAGGTCAGACCGTTTTCTGGCCAGAGCTATTGCTTTTTTGTAGTAGTGCCTGTGTTTCAAGCCAAATGGAGGATTAAGAGTGAGAAATGATGGGAAAAGCTTACTTCACATATAGGAGACCTGAATTTAGCCAGTTTTGAACAAAGCACTGAACCCTGTGAGCCCCAGTCATCTCATGTGTAAAATGGAGCAGTGTGGCCTGGTCTGGTGTCTGGAAGGTACAGCCATGACTCAGAGAGGCAGATTCAGCTTTGATGCCACCTTATTGGTTGTGTGAACTTGGTCAAGTCGTATCATCTCTGTGGGCATTAAATAGCACTCATTCAAGTGCACTGAAGCAGTTGCCTCCTGGTTCAAGTGCGGAAAGATGCCTGGCTGTGCCCTTATCTATTTAGAATCGTAAGTGTGCTTTGCATTAAAGATTGGCAAAACATTAGAGTGTTTGCAGGCTGCTGAGTGCACCACACTTTCTTTGTAGAATGTGGGCCAGAGGTACAGATGATCAAACACGAATGACAGCTATTCCTTCAGTCAGTTATTAGCAATTCTTGCCATTTTTATAACTAGAAGTATATAGTTTTGTTATTTACATAATTTATCCATACTCAAGTGTACCATCAACCACAAAGTCATGCCTGCTACATTTAGCAGTTGAGGATGCTGACTTTTTTTTTTTTTTACAGACTGAAAAAGATCTGGGGAAGCCTTGGCAGTTCCAAATATTATGGGTACCTGCTCATATTTAGTGTTTAGTTTTCAAATAGAAAGCATAGTTGAGGAGGCTAAACATATGGTACCCTTTGCCTTAGAAAAGCTACCTGGCACTTGGCATCATCGTTAAGTAAATTAACTTGACAGGTGGTGAGGGAGACTGACATTCTACTGAGTTCCTACGTTTCACTCCATTTTTTCCCCTATATATTGGATGCAGAAGATAAACTGTGGGTGGCATGAACTTACTGAAGTTGGAATGACAAGTGTGCATGCCTCACACAAATGGGCATGGAAAAGCACAGAGCCAGCAGAGCAGTTTCAGGCACTGGAAGAAACCATAGCCACCACTTCAGTGCACTTGAGAAGCAGAGAAAACCACTGGCATTACATCTGGCCAGATGCAGAGAGGCTACTCACTCCCATACCCGGCCTCTGTCCAGTTGTCTGCCCCCCCCCACTCAGTTTAGAGCTGTTGGGCTGCCGTGCCTGGTCCTTGGCAGGGTTTCCCCTGAGATCAGCGTGTCAGAGAACAGTAAGCAGGGCAGGGCTCTCTGGAGGAGCTCGCTTGCAGTTTGGGTGGTAGAGGGCAGAGGTGGGTGGCCTGAGGAAACAGCATGTCACAGATGGATATCCCATGCCCTGGGGGCAGTGAGGATGGGACAGCTCCTTCCAAGGAGCCTCCACTCAGTGCCTGGCACTGGCTCCTTTTGGTACAGCCCTGAGCTGAGGTTAGGACTGTGTGGGCAGAAGGGTCCCTGTGCCGGCTGTAGTACATGAACTGACTACACATCTAAGAGCTGCTTGCCCTATGGATAAGGAGGGCGCTTGCTGCGATGACAACTGTATGGTCAGAGATGGAACAAGATGGCAGCAGTCTGCACGCCTGTGGGTGCTGGGCACACGCTTCTTTCTTCCTCTCCCTCTCCTCTCCCTTGTGAGGTAATCACAATCGGTTCAGGCAGTTTGAAACTTTGCACTAACTCCCCCATCACACCCAGCAGTTGGGAGAAGAGAAAGCAAAGGTCTATTTCCAAGAGGCTGCAGGAAGTGGAAGTGTATTCCTCTGTCCATGGGCAGCATCCCTCTATTCTGGGATTTCATTTAGTAATGACTGAGTAACAGGGGCTCTGGGACAACCTAGCCCGGCATGTTGTGCTGTCTGGAAGATATGGCTGAGGGGTGGGTCAGGCATATATATATATATACATATATATATATATGTATATATATATATGTTCTTTTAGAATTTGTCCCCTTCCCCACTAAAAAATATTATTTTAAAAATGTGTATGAGCATATATCTCTATGCACCACATGCATGCAGTTCCTGCAGAGGCCAGAAGAGGGCATCTGATCCCTGGAACCGGACTTTGAGAAGGGGGTGAACTGCATGTGGGCTCTGGGAATTAAATCCAGGTCCTCTGCAAGCTACAATCGCTTTGGTGATCCTCTACTGAGCCATCTCTCCAGCCCACCTGTTCCCTCATTGTTCATTAACTCTTGGGGAATTTCAGGTGGACTCATTTTTAATGAATACGAGCATCACCTGAGAAGACAGGAGAGTCCCCGATACCTGATACCTGTCCTTAACCTGCACCACTCTCTCCCAGTTCAGGTGCAGAGGTCTAACTGCCTTTGGCTTTCAGGTGAAATGAACCTGGGCCTTACTTTTGTGCACGTGTTGATAAGTCTCTGCCTCTTGAGCCTTCTTTAGCACTACTGCCTGGGGAAAAGAAATCTAGAGGTCACTGATCAGCATGTTGCCCGTGGCAGTGTCCCTGAATCTTAGATAATATGAATCCCCTCAGGCTTTGCTAGATGCAGATTCTGATTCAGCAGAACAGGGCTGGAGGTCCAGGCCTCTGAGGGATGTTGATGCTGCAAGTCTAGGGACATATCTAGGACGGATTTGTGGTCCTTTCCAGGTCATCGTGTCCATGACAATAGCAAGGGAGCTCTGGCTGCCTCAAGCCTCAAGCATGCCAGAGCTGAGAAAGTCAACATCCCAGCTCACTTTTAACCTCTTCATGCCTGCCGGAAGTGGGCCCACATGTACCATTGAGAGGAGAAGAAAGTGTAAACCACACAAATCCATCACAGCCCACAGAGTGTGGAAGGTTCATTTGCTCATTTTCTCCTGTTATTATTACAAGTGGTCCCAGGGTATCTGCCAGAATCGTACCTCTGTCCCAGCAGTGTTTTATCTGGGGGGGGGGGACGAATAAGGCTTTCTTCCAGCTGTTAGTTAGCTGTGGTGTCTCGCATCCTGCACAGCTCTTTCTATGTGTGACTGCTTTGGGGTGTGTATATGTATTTGTGTGACATGTACCCAGGTATGTACAAGCACATGTGCACATGGACCCGGACTCAGCCATTTCCTCTAAGGCCTCATCCTGCCAGGAGAATAAGAGTCAGACGGAGCAGGGTGGGGGGCACAACCACTTTTCCTGCTCAGCCTCTCTCTCAGACAACCAGCCTTCTGTTTACCTGGTCATGTGTCTCCATCCCCGCCCCACCAGGGGGGGCAGTTGGCTTAGCTGACATCACCTTAATCTGAACTCCTCTAGTCTGTGAGATACTTCAAAGATTTTTCAAGAAAGTAGACCCTTAAGATCAAAACTGAAGCCCACTGCCTTCCCAGAGGAGAAAGGGGCAGCCCTCTGTTCCATTCAGATGCATGGCTTATTTTGGCCCGTCCTGGAGCACCATGTCTACTTGCTGTTCTTTTCCAACAAAAAGGGTCTTTCCAATCACTTTCCCAGGGCAGCAAAAGTCTCAACATCAGCCATTGTAAATGGCTCTTAGTTTCCTAGAAATAATGACTAAAACGTACAGCAGTGTGTCTCTTGGCCTGCGGCTGCCTGTCTCAGTTGGCTCACGACTGCATACTCCAGGTACCACACTCAGTCTGGCTGAAGCAGCTCTCCTTTCTCTCCAGGTCCATATTCAAGCCATTCATCTTTGTTGATGATGTAAAACTTGTCCCCAAAGCACAGTCACCCTGTTTTGGTGACGATGACCCAGCCAAAAAGGAACCCCGGTTCCAGGAGAAGCCAGATCGCCGGCATGAGCTGTACAAGGCTCATGAGTGGGCACGTGCTGTCATCGAGAGTGACCAGGTGAGCCTGGAGGAGGTCGAGGGACAATGGCAGAGGTCAATGGGAAAGGAGGCAGAGAGGTAGCTTGCACACACATCCCTATCCTCTCCCTCTCCTTGCTAGCCCGATGGGTGTCTCTCAGAAAGAGAAGGCAGGTGTTAACTTTCCTACCAACTCTCCTGAAACCAAAGAAAAGGAAGCCTCTGCTTTTGTTTTTACTCTGGATCCAGCAGGCTGAGGATCCCTTCCTCAGGTGCCATTAACCCCAGAGTAGCTTGTCACAGGCTCAGGCCAGCTCCATCCTGCATCTGCTGGGGTCCTTCGTGGTCCTACGTTTGGCTTAGTGCCTCTGATTTGCTGGGGTCTCCACTGCAATTGAGGTTCCACCTTCACCCAGTGCCAGCCTCAGCTCTCCATGGACCCTGCAGTTTCCATGCTGCCCAAGCCAGTATCACATGGGAGGTCTTACATATTACCAAGTTAGACTGCCAGCTTGAGATGCAGCTTGGCTCCCTGGAAACCACCATCATAGAAAAAAAATGACATAGGGTTATACATAGCATGTTTATTAATTGAGTCATTTATCCCTTCAATAGACAATCTTTTTTGAGAACACCTATTGCGCTCCAGTCATTGGAAGGCAGATACAAGCCTAGCTCTCCCTCTCCAGGAGGTCAGGGTATAATGGGAGACATAGCCATGCAGGCCAGTCATCCCAACACAGATGATGGTGATCATGTAGGGAGAAGGTATTGAATTCTGGAGGAAGGGCCTTCCATAGCAGTCTGAAGATGGGCTCAGACTGACCTAGTGTTGAGGGCGGGGAGGGCCTCCATATGAGCAATGGGGAGAGATTATCATGGGTGTAGCAATGCACGTGGCTGAAGGGGATGGATATACAAGGCAAGCGGCCACAGTGTCCTGACTACTGCTCAGAGGTCAGAACTTTAAACCAGACATCTGTGGATGTGTTCTGAGCGGGCTGCTGATGTAACTGCATTCTAGAGCAGCCCCGGTGGTGGTTTGGGTACAGAGGAGGGAGTAGATAGATGGTCCTGTAGCCAGGAAGCCATGACAGCCAGACCCTGGGCTGTCAGTGTCCACTGCCATGACGCATGCTGTCCCGCATGGCTGTATCCCTCCTCAGGAGCAAGGCCGTACACTGAGGAAGACCATGCTGGAGTTGGAGAAGCAAGGCTTGGAAGCCATGGAAGAGATCCTAAGCAGCCCCGAGCCCCCGGACCCTGCCGAGGTGGGGGACCTTTTCTACGACTGTGTGGACACCGAGATGAAGTTTTTTAAGTGATGTAAGCATCCTCGCCCTTACTTAAAGCTTCCCACCCAACTAAATTACCAGCAGAGAAACACTCTTCTGTCTGAGTAAAATGAGATTTACCATGTGGCCGCCTTGTGTCTAAATGTTCCCTCTGTTCAGCTTAGCAACCCCCCTTTCGCTATGTAACTCGATCCCACATGCCTCTTGCTCCATTGTGTGATAAGCTGTGGGCCTGAAGATGTTCTTGTGTTTCAGTGACAATGGGCACCTTAGGAGAACTAGAGTTCCTTCAGCCTTGGACAGGGCTGCAGGGCCAGGCTGGTGGGAAAGACAAGAGCTGTGAAGGCCCTGGTCCCTCTCTAGATAGTGATTTCTTCACGGCTAACAAAAGGGTTTTGTTCATACTGAAGGCTCTTGTGTGTGCGTAGATGGGGGAGAATCCCTCAGCTTTCCTGTACAAAGCACAGGCTTATGGGTAGCCCACAGTCCCCACAGGTATGCCTTGGGAAACAAAGCTAATGGGAAGGAACAGAGGATCCCTGGAGACAGTCCTAGCTCTGTCCCAATGATGGTGACTCTGAAAGACCCGTTCTCTGTGAGCGGTGCCCATGCACAGTAGAGCAGACCTGCTTCCACAGGCAGGAGAGCTGGGCATCCATGTTCGCTGGACCTCCCCATCCAGCACCTCCTCCACCCGAGGACGCAGCTCTGTGTAGAAATGACTTGCAGTTTGATTGTCAGCAACATGTATAAGATTCATGAAATGGCCTTGGCGGAGTTCACAACTGCAGATCTCAGGCAACGAGGGAAAGAAAAGGGACTCGACTGCTGAAAGCACCTGGGATCCAGGCTCATTTGTCTCCAACACCATTGTGTTGCAAAAAGGACTGGACTCCTCTGGAGGGTGTGAGGAAGACAGGGCAGGCTGAGGACAGATGGCTGTGCCCACTGGTTAACTAGATTCCCACAAGTCAGTGCGCTGAGCACCTGACCTCCAGGGTCTCCCCACATAGTGCTCATGCCCCAGTGCCCAGCAGCTGCCTTCGGACTGGTGTCAAGAATGAGAGAGAGGATGTGGGAGCTTATCCATCGCCACTCTCCAGAACTCCCGAAAGAGTAAAGGGATAGAGATGACTGGCAGAAGTGTAGGTTAGAGGAACAGCTAGTGTGTGTGTGTGTGTGTGGGGGGGTGAACAAACAGGAACTGTCCATCAGTGATCTCGGGCGTGGCTTAGGGGCCTCAGATCCTTCCTAGTGGTACCAAGGGCTGTGAGAGCTGGCAGGGACCTGAGCCCTCATTTCACAATGTGATACAGGCCAGAGGTTTTATGGGGACAAATCTTGCTTTTCTTTCAGCCCTCCTTTAAGAGGGTGTGTGTGCTGTGAGCCCCTTCCCAGCTGTTTCGTGAGTGCCATGTATAAACAAATGGCAAACCGTGAGAGGTGGGACAAGTTCACGACAACCAAATGGTGGCTTGCGGTTGCTAGGAGCTTTGGGCAGGCTGGCCGTGGCATCAAACGCAGATGAACAGAGGGTACAGGTAGAGCGAAGCTGAAAGTGTCCGCAGGTGCAAAGGGAAGAAGGGTGATGTTTGAGGAGAAAGTTGCCTGTCCAACCCCACCTGCTGCATTAAGTCAGGCGATGCAGAAGGCCATCCTGCGATTTCCCTGTATGGTCTCTCGTCCACCTCACCTGTGAGGCCAACTCATCAGATCTGACTTGTCTGAGACAGCCCAGGCCATTCAGGGTTTGATCAAAAGTCTAGTGAAAATAAAGGTCACAACATCCTTCTCTCTTTACTTTGGCCAAGGTTGCATAAGGCTGTGCTGACTTGATGTCATCACTCAGGTGCCTGGAAAACACAGTGGCTACTTCTATTATTGGATATTAGCCTTAGTCCAGCATCACAGAGAAAGGCTTGGAGCATTGTACATCTCAACCATGTTGTCCTCTTACCACTAGAGGGCGCAGGAGCCCCTGTGGGCAACCTGGCCTATGTTAAGGGGCCTGATTTTTCCCTTTTTTAGGCAATGGTTAAGAACTGGGAACAGAAGCTTTTCTCACTGGGATGGGTGGGAACAGATACGAGGACAGTAAGGAATCTGGCTAGGTGCCTGCATGTACTTTAGTGACTTTATCTGACAACAGAAACGATGCTGAATTTTGAGTAGGCAGATGTAGAAGAACATTTGTTTTAAAATCCTCCTAATGGATTTCCCTGTGAAGAAATGCTTCATTCATGGGTAATTTCTTCATCAGGGGTTGGTTTTCTGAACAGCATTGAGAAAATGGATATTCAGGATGAAATGCATATGGAATGTTTAAGATCACCCTGAAAATAACTTCCCAGAAGACCACCATGTATCTATTAACCCTCCAGGGTGGGAGAGCCTGGGCATACTTTGTGTTGAAATAAGTCATGACCATTAAGGACAGACTGGCTGCCCCCACCTGCCCATAGAACCTTATGTAAGCTAGCTAGTCTTTTGTGGATGAGATTTCCACTAGGTGAAAACAGGCATCATAGCTGCGCGCAGACACTCGCGTGGACGTTGCGTTAGTAAATAGGACATAGTCTTTTTATTATTCTTGGAGGTGTCTGGAAGCTGTGGTAGAAAACGGACCCGGTAAAAGCTGTGGAGACTAGCCCAACACAAGATCAGTGTTTGTAGGCGTCAGCCTCACAAGCTCCTGCAGCGGGTATCTGCCCACTAGAACTCAGTGGTGACACCCTCTTACTATCAGGTGAACCAGCAGCAATAAAAATAATTGTCAGCCACAAAAAATAATGTCATCCCACATCGGTAAAGGTGACGCCACTTCTGGCAGGTCCACAGGACAGCCAGGTGTGCATGCCTGAAAGTCACTGGCTACGTTCTTTTATTGCAAAGAGAAAACACAAGGAAGCTAGGTGAAGGCCCACGGAGCGGGAGCAGGGCAGGTGCAGGGCAAGCATCCCAACTCTTCTATGCCTCCCTTAGCTGTGGGCTTTCAGTCCACATGGCTCTGTGTCCTGGCTCCTGTTCTGTGGTGTGTGTCAAAATGTGTTTTATCTGACTGAAGCCAACCATCCTGAAATATATCACACAGAATTCTTGCAGGAATCAATAAGTACATGTCTTTAATCATGTGAGAACTGAAATGCCATAGAACCTTTGTTTCCTGTTGGGGTGGAACTGACTGTGTGGTCTTAACAGCCTTTTGTACAAATGCCTACAAGTCAAATAATGTCCCTACCCAGTGCTTGCCCTCGAGAGTGTCTCTAACTGCACCGAATGTACAATAAAAGCATCAAAGTCAATGTCCAGGAGCATCCTCTTGTTTGTGTTTCACGAACACAGCCGGCACCAGTCACAAGACAAATGTGTGGAAGAACTGAGCTTTTCTGACTGGAACCCTTAGAAAACTCAGCCACTTGAGCAGGGCCTCACATGGTGTGCCACCGTGAAGACAAATTCACTATTTAAAGATAAACCCAAAACTATAACCATATACCACTCAGCTGGGTCAGACCAGCAGCAGCAAGAATTGATTACCCTGCAGACCCAATTTGCAGGATATCGTGCTTTAATAAGGATCAGGAGAAACAAATAGGGCGAATAGATGTTTATTCAGGGAGAACTAACTTAAACAGCATAGACAGATGAACACCAGCAGGTTCCTGGTCCCAAGGATGTCTCTGGATGCTCTCCTGTCCCCATGCTGCAAGAGAGCACTCAGGGCCCTTCCTCAGACCTAGTTCCCCCTGTCTCCACCCCACAATGGGCGTGGTCAGTGCCTCAGATTCAGACAAAGTGAATATCTCACTACAGCAGGATCTCCACAACACAGGGCAACAGAGGATATCCAGGAGGAGTCTCAATGAGGGCCCAGCATGGATAGTGGAACAGAAACCAGGGGCCTCGCACCAGACCAGTGACTCTGCAATGAACACTTGGCAGTAAAGATTATGGACAAAAGGGTTTACTGCGTGACTCACTGTGTTACATTGCAGTTTCCATGATGAGATTCCCCCACCCCGTTTTTTTTTTTCTTAAATTTTATTTGGGGGGGGGGTGCAAGGGAAGAGGGACAGGAAATGAATGGGATGGAGAAACACGATGTGAAAGACACAGAGAATAAATTTAAAAATTATTCAAAAAAGAGTCAACTACCATGTGGGGAGCTGGAAACATCATGCATGGCTGGCAGAAACGAAAATGGTTGCCCACCGTAGACTATGGAGATTTGTCAGCAAATTCCATTTGACCCAGCAATTCTACTTCCTAGTGTGTACCAAAGGAATGAAAGCAAGGCTGGGAAAGATGCTTGTTCGGCCACCTTCCTAGCCTATTAAATTACCTGTAGGTGAGTGGATGGATGGTTACACAATGTGGTATGTCTGTGCAATGGAGTACTGTTCAGCCTTAAGGGGAGAAGGCAATTCTGATACATGCCACATTATGTATGGACATTCTGGACATTATGTTGGGCAAAACAAATTAGTCACAAGGGGACATATGTAACTCTGTTTACGTGATATACCTAGAGGAGTCAAATACACAGACTGCTTGTTTTCCAGAACATGGGGTGTGCCCTTACTTAGCTCTGGGACCCAAGTGTTCAGGGCTTGACAGTGTGTCTTCATCCCTGTATGTCCACATACACATTTACACCCCGATTTGGATGGTGAGGAAACTGAACCTAAGTAGTTTAATCCCCAGACTTAAGAGACTTATATCCTTGCTTGCCTTTCACTCATGAGATGAGCAACCTCATCTCTCCTGTTCCAGGCTCCCATGTCCCAGAACCACGCCTGTGGACAGGAGAGGACTCTGCTCATCAGGAAAGGCTCCTTTGAAGTTGAAGGCCTGGCTGAGTTAAGGGCAGAGCCTAAGTGCTTTGGGTTGAAGGTTTCCTTAGTGTTGCATGCATAAGGTCCTGGATTTGATCCCTAGTAAGGAAAACCCTTCCCATTTAAACACATTGGCAGAATTTACAAGCAACACACTTGGCCCATACTGTAGTAATAACACTGCTAAGTATATTGTTATCTGTTTTTAAAATGCATATGGTAAAATCCCCACCCCACCCCTCACAACAAACAAGATTTCCCTAGGGGGCTAGAGGGATGGCGCAGAGGTTAGGTGACAGTTGCTTAAAGCTTTGGGGAAAAGTTTGGCATCATCCACAGGGATGGGAGAGAGAAAGGAAGGCTGTCTCCTAGACCGAGGCCAGTGTCGGGTACTGGTGATGAGCCAACTGAGGCAGGCAAGAGCAGGCCAAGAGCCACACAGCTATGTCTTTTTAGTCACTATTTCAGTAAAACTAACAAAGGTTGATGCTGAAGCAGACTTTTGATGTTCTGGCAAGGTGGCTGGAAAGGACCCTTTTCATTGGCAAAGAGAGGCAAGTAGACACAGTGCTCTGGGGCAGGACAGAATAGGACCCAGAGGACTCAAATTCAATTCCCAGCAAGCACACAACCAACTGCCACTCTAGTTCCAGGGGATCTAACACATTTTCTAGCCTCTTTGGGTACCTATACACATGACATGCACATCTAGACACATACACATAAATAAAAATAAATACATTTTCAAAGGCGCTATTTCTGGTGTTCCAGAAATCACTGGCCTTTGTTTAAGCCCTACGGACCCTTAAAGATGTGTCTTAGTACTGAAGTCTGACTGCTACACATTGCATTTCTGCACCACAGTGTCGTATCATATTCCAGAAACATGGGTAATCATCACATGTCAATCAAAGAGGCTTAGATCAGTACTGGTGATCACAGATGGGCTTTGCAGGGAAACAACCACCGACATTGTTGCTTATTAAAGTTTATTGGGTACAAAGGAATGCATCTGCAGTGGGAGACACCGATAAATATAAAATACAGGTGACACACGGGGAGGGCACAGTCTGCAATGTGAGGGTAGGTAAGGCTGGCAGGGACGCCTTCGCATATGAGTTCATGGTCAAGGGCACAACCTGTACACTGCTGGTGGGAACTGGACGCACCCACTTGAACTGGGAGGGTTGTAGTTGCAGTGATAGGTCTGGAGGCGAGCTGCTAGGCCAGATTCCTGAGATTGCTCCCTGCTTGCTGTTTTTGGTTTCTGCTTGTTCTTTCCCTCTGTCTTTAAATGGTTTAAAAAATTATCTGTATTGTATGTACCTGTGCGTGCGTGCGTACGTGTGTGTGTGTGTGTGTGAGTGTGTGTGTGTGTGTGTGCGTGCACATGCGCACATGTGAACAAAGGCACATCTGTGCACATGCATTTGGAGGCCAAAGGCCAACAACAGGTGTCTTTTTCCATCTCTCTCTCTCTCTAGCGTTTCTTACTAAACCTGCAGCTCCATAATTTGGTGAGGTTGGGTGGTACTGACCTTCCTGGGGTCAGCTGACTCGACTTAACTCCCAGGACCTGGGTTACAGACATGCACTCCCATGCCTGGCTTTTATGTAGGTCCTGGGGATGTGAACACAGGTCCTCGTGCTTGGCCAGCAGGCAGTCTACTGAAACTCAGATCCTTAGGCTTTCGAGGCAAGCATCTAATCAATGGAGTTATTGCCCCAGGCTTGTTTTGTTCTTCTTTTAATGTATGTTGTATTTTCCGTGTAAATCTTACACTCGGGGTGGGACTTGGGGGAGGGAGACCTCTGAGGTTAAAAATAAGCTTATCATAATAACCATGTGCTATGTACATTTGTAATCAGCAGGGGTGGCAAGATATCAAAATCTCATAAAGCTGACTTTACCCTGGCTACCAGGATGGAGCTGGGAACTTGGAGGGGTAGAAGGAAATGGACACCGGGCACTAGGGATGCTGTAAACAGTAAAAGCATTGGCTACTTGTAAAAGAATCCAGTTACAAAAGGGGCCCCTGTGGAAGGCATGTGAGGGGCCAAGCCCACTCCAATCTTTGCATTGGGATATATTTACATTAGGCAGCAAAATGACATCCCTGTACTGATAAAAGGAAGCGAGACATGGCATCCCACTCACTGGAGGCTGTGTGGCACTGAAGGGACCTGGGGACACGCTGCTTTCTTTGAGCTGCATTGTTTATAAGGCATTATCTGGTTTGATTTTGAAGTTGATGTGATGAGAGTCATGCCAATAAGAAGCTGTTGTGGATATTTATGACTTTGGGACTACTTGAAAACTAAGGATGCTCTAAAAAATGTGGATGTGGATATTTATGACTTTGGGACTACTTGAAAACTAAGGATGCTCTAAAAAATGTTTCAGAATCTAGGAAGGACCAGCCTACAAGCATATTTTATAGTCACAGTGGACACTACAGGGTGGGGTAGGGCTCCATCTGTACAAACAAAGAAAGGCTAAGATGCATATTTAAAAATATTAAAATATTACTCAAATGGAAGTTGACTAAAGTGGTGTTTTAAAGTTCGTGCAAATCATTATTTACAATAAATGATGCTCCATTCAGAGCCTGCCTGTCAAATGAATAGATCTGGAGCATGGGTAGAGTCTTGATGAGCTTTCCTGGCATCCATCCAATCAAGAACCCAAGGGCCTTGGCTTCGCCGTTCATCTTACCGGAGTGCCTTCAGAGATAACTGCAGAAACATGACAGAACATTACTGAAAAGGGGTCCAAAGACTCGTTGCCCACAAAAGACCTGCCTTGCCTGGGTCACAACTTTTCTTGTAGGCAAAGTGGCCCCATCGTGTACAAGGAGATTTTGTTTTGTTTTATGCCCCTCCCCCAGGGGTTGAGAATGGGAAGTGGTACATGGAGGCCCGATACTGTCTATGAACAATGATAGAAGAAAGCGCACACAATTCACTTGGCAGGAAGCTCAGGAAAAGCAAAGAGCATGATGAAGCAACCATATGCAGGCAACAGAAAGGAGGGGAAGGGCCAGAGGCCTCGGACTTTCAGCCCAGGACCACTGGACCCATACCAGCACCGTCTCCAGACCAGTGGTTTTCCTGTGCACTGCTCTGTGTCCTCATGACGTGAAAATTAATTAGGATGATGTCCAATGACACATAAAATAATCTCAACTTTGGGATGCCTAAAGACAACTGTATAACCTCTCCTTGACAGAATGAGGGTCTTCTTTACAGGCATCATGGCCGAACCATAACTGGTAGCCCTCAGCTAGGAGCCTAAATATATAGGTCCAGAAAGATGCAAACCATCATCATGGTTGCATCATGGGATGCAACCCCATGGGTTGATTTAGGTGTGTGCTTGTCCTGGGGCTGGAGACTAGGTCCTGTCCAGCGGGCCACGCAGCCTTGCTGAATTGATGAATTCTCAAGATTCTTGCCTGGGAACATCAGGCAGAGGTCAGATAGTCACCCTGGGTAACTCCTTGACCTTCTGCAACAAGTTTCCCTTTGTGGAGATAGATGAGCATCTCTCTCCAGCTTGACCACAGGCTATTATGGAGAGTCAAATGAGAGAACACAGACAAGCTAACTGAAAAATGGAAAAAGTTTTGTAAATGTAGGGACTGGGGGGGGTATGTTGATTATTTTGTTTTTCTGATTACAAAAATTACCTCTGCAGTTTAGAAAATAGAGGACTGGAGAGATGGCGTATCAGGTAAGAGCCCCGACTGCTCTTCCAGAGAACCCAGGTTCTATTCCCAGCACCCACATGACAGCTGTCTGCTTCCCACTATAGGTGCAAGATGCCCGGTTACCTCAAGTGCCTGCGTCCACCATGTGTAAAGCCTCCCTCACTACATTTTCTCTTGTAAGGTATTTTATCGGTGTAACAGAAAAGGTGACTAATGTAGACCTAGCCTTTGGTGTCTGAATGCCCAAAGAGGAAAGAGAAAATTGGAAGGGAAGAAGGGAATCTCCCAGAGAGCATTTCAACCTGAAGGGGGAGGCTTGCAACAACTTGGCGGGGGTTGGGGGTGGGGAATTGGGGGTTGGGGGTGAGAAAACAATGGACGCCAACATCAGTATCTGAACCTCTGTGATCTGGAGTAGTGAGGAGGGACTGGAGCATGGATCCCCAGTTGTCTGGAGGAGTGGGTAGTTTTCTTCTCCAGGTGTGTATAGGTTGTGCCATAAGGCCTTTCACCTGGGTACGGGTGGGAGGGAAATGGCTAGCTGCTGATGTCTTATGAGTTGAAACTGAGCAAAATCTAGACATTGTAAGTCTTCAGTTGATGCCAGAATTCCAAGACGACTGCAACAGAAACAGTGCCAGAGACATCACAGTCCAGGCAGAGTGGCAGACTCTGGTGCTTCCTACCTTACCGTCTTCCTCGAATCCATTTTTACACCTGTCGATAATCTCGCACCAATCTGTCCTCCCTTCCCTGCTTTATGAACTTCTTATCATTGCACACTCACTTTTGAACCTGTGATTATCTGAGAGTGGTTACTATGAGTCTTGAATTACCTGTGTTTAGGAAACAGGGTGTGGCCTGAATGGGAGGAAGTACCCTCTGCAGTGGGGTAGGGGAGGATCACAGCTTTCAGGATTCTAGTACATTCCCAGCCAGGCTACTTCTTAATAGTGTGACATAGTTGCTGAATAACCCAGTTCATCAACAGCCAGCCTGCTGTCTGATACACAGAACTTGAAAACAGGTGTAGCCAAGGCAGAATAAATTCACATGTTTGGATAAACAAAGGATTTTATCTTTTTGTTTGTTTTTCGGGACAAGGTTTCTCTGTGTAGCAGCCCTGGCTGTCCTGGAACTCACTTTATGGATCAGGCTGGCCTTGAACTCTCAGAGATCTGCCTGCCTCTACCTCCTTAGTGCTGGGATTAAAGGCATACACCACCACACCCAGCAACAAAGAATTTTAAAAGAGGAGACCATATCACATGCAGTGAGAGATGTTGCCTCTGTCCCGGTTAGAAAACTGTATAAGTTATTTTGGCTGAGAACAAGGGCATTTATGTGGTTTTTTTTTTTGTTTTTTCTCCCAGCTTTGACAATTACATGGAGCTAAGGGCACTTAAATTGTGATTAAATTTTGGTCAGAATCAAATTAATATTGATGCAAGAAAAAGCCCCCCAAAAAACTATCTAGTCTATAGGTGAGTGAGAATCCTGAATCATATGTTACAGATCTTATGGGTTTTTCTCCTGGGGTTAGGGAAGGTCAGACTCAGGAGGAGTGAAATTTCGGGGTTCTGAGTGAGTCAATCACTTCTGTATGGGGTGGTAACTTAAGGAAAGTCCCTTCCACCTGGTTGACTTTGCAACTGTAGGTCATTCATTCTGGCCTTTAATAAAGGTGAAACACATGGCATTCTCAAGGAAGAGGAAGTCAGAAGAGGAAGATTTCTTCTCTAAGAAATCCCTGTAGAGCAGTGGTTTTCAACTTTCCTAATGCTTTGGCCCTAAATACAGTTCCTCATATTGTGATGACCTCCAGCCACAAAACTATATTGTTGCTACTTCATGACAGTAATTTTGCTGCTGTTATGAATTTTGATGTAAATATCCGACACGCAGGGTATCTGATATGCTATCCCAAAGGGCTTGCGACCCCTGAGGTTGAGAACCACTACTGTAAGAGGGGCTTCCGGGCTTTACATTGGGAGGTGTTACCTGAGAATTTCTGCTTTTGATGTCATCCGAGCTCTGCCCAGCCGTCTCAGCTTGGAGCCAGGAACCAGGTGTGCGGCCTGAGAGAAACAAGAGTAGCCTCACCCACCATCTTTTGCCCAGGGCCTCTGTACCCTGTGGAGACACTCCTGCTAAACCAGCACCTAACATTCCTGCAGAGGGTCCCCAGGCAACATGTGCTCAATCCAAAACCTTCTGCCTTCTGGCCCCTGACTATGTGTTTCCACCCATCTTCTGTGTCACAGACTACGGGCTCAGGGAGTCTGCTGTATGAGGAAGCCTCCCTGACTGGCATGTACCCAGCCTCTGGGCACCTTCTCCACCTACCATTGTGACATGCCAAGTACTGTGCAGGTACTATTGGCTGACACAATTCAGGCCTCCATTTAGTGAAGCTCCAGCAATGTATCTTTATCTCCAAGATGTACTGGGCTTCAGTATTACACAAGTTGCACAGGATATAATGCCATAGTTAAAAATTGGAAGAATGTAGAAGATAATGGGGGGGGGACCCCAATGCCTCTTAGCCTGCATGTCCCACACCCAAGTCCAATTTCTTTTGCTAGTGTCACCACAGCAAAAGTCTCCATTCTTTTAAAAGATGATTTACTCAAGTTTTAAATCCACATCTCTAGGTTGTTGTTGTTTTGTTTTTTGTTTTTGTTTTTCAAGATAGGGTTTCTCTGTGGCTTTGGAGGCTGTCCTGGAACTAGCTCTTGTAGACCAGGTCTTGAACTCAGGGGAGGTGAAATTGTACAGAAGGAAAAATCTAGGTTTTTCAAATCCATCAAAAAAAAAAAAAAAAAACCCAAAACCCAAAAACCAAAAACCAAAAACCAAAACAAAACAAAAACACAATAACCAATTTTCCCTCTTCGGTGGTAGAATTACTTTTGAAACACTCTCTGTCACTTTAGAAGTTTTCTACAGTGTGCACATTTGGCTCTGTAACAGTCCTACAGGATAAGGCATAGCTTTCAATGAACCATCACATCAGAGCTCAAAGGGCTCTGAAACACACACACACACACACACACACACACACACACACACACACACACGAAAAAACACTAATCAAGGTTTAAACTGGGAACAGTACTTGTTCGAAGTACTTGAACTAAGATGTTTTGGTTGGAGCAAATAACAGAGAGAATGTTAGCTTTTCAGCTAGTTTGAGTAAAAAGTACCAAGACACTGACAGCCATGAGGTACTTCCAGACTGGGGTCCTTAGTTTTACAAACGGCCAGTCTGCAATAGAAGACCCTCTCACTGGACGGACATTTCCCAGTCCAGCCTTTACAAACATTGGGTAGCTTTGTCTCCCTTGTGACTCTGTCCTTGCACTGTGGGACACTTACCACACCTTTCTGTACTTACCCAGTACCTGTGGCAGCCTTACCCAAACCCAGGCCTACTGGTAAGCACCACACGGGACTCTAGGTATCACCCATTGCCTCCAGGCACATTTGCCCCCATCTGAAAACCACTGACTAGTAACATAGGTGTCATGGGTAGACAGTTCCCATCAGCGCCCACAAGCTGACCAGAGTGGGGAGGCTGGAGCAAAATCAGCTTCTCCATGAAAATGGAGGGCAAACTTCCCATTTGGCTGCAAGAAAAACTTCACTGCTAACTGGGACTTCTTCGGGGGGAGTCAGGATGCTCTGAATTGACAGAGCACCTTAAAGGGATTTTCCCTTGTGAGGTACCACCAGCCTCTCTGTAAACAGTACTTCCCACCTGATGTTTCTGCGCGATGCGCGTTTCAGATCCAGTGGAATGGTCATGTTCTCATTTTTGCTTCTGTAATATGTAGCGCAAAATGTATTTCTCCCCTCTTCCCCAGCTCATGTCCCTGCTATACTGAGAGCCAATATACAGCCATCTCCTGATTCACTCACCAACACTGCTGTGGATACAAAGGCTTAAAGGTTATCTGTGCCTGGACTAAGAGCCTCTGATGGCGTCTAGCCTTTCTATCGCGTGCAAACCAAGTTCGAATTGTTGTCCTTTTCTAAGCACAGCCATACTTTCATATTAAGAGTAAAATCCATTTACAGGCAGCAGGAATATGGCTAGGTGGGACTTGGGCAGGGAGCAGAAAGAGTTTAAAACTTGGATGGCCATGAAGGCAGAGTCCCTTAGATGTGTCAGCACCAGCCAGGGAGAACAATTCCCGTGAAGTGTTTTGGGAAAGGCGGGTCTAACAAAGGCCAGACCTGTCAGTCAAGGCCAACACTGGCTAAGCCTTACGGGAAAGTCTAGGTGGCACCATGAGGGGCAAAGAGCACTGGATGTGGCGCACAGAACCTGGGCACTGGCCTATCTTTGTCACCATGGGGACATGGACCAGCTATTTGATTCACTACTGCCTTAAACTCTTAGCTTTATGTGGAGAAATTGAGCCGGGTGGCCTTAAGCAGTCTTCCTAAGTGGAAGATTCTAGACTTGCAACATTGCACTCCTGGCTTTCCCCGCCTTCCCCAGTTGCCACTGGCACAGCATCAGCTGGTATAAAAGGGACCAGATCCCCCAAATAGAGGCCAGCCCGCTTGGCCCCTTACTGGGTTAGTCTAAATTCACTGGTGCCCATTTCCTCCTGTACATGTACATGGACCAGAAATGGGCCAATCCTTTCCTCTCTTCTTATCATTCCCAACTTAAAATTAGTTTTCAAGGTCAGACAGCAATAAGCAATTTATTTATAAAAATCTGGACAGAATAGTGTGTTTCTCATCTCGAGTCCTCATAACACATAAATCAATACATTCTTATAAAATATTTTCTGTTCTTTTTGTACAGTCTTGCTTGGGCTGTTTTTACTGACATGGTGGCATCACCATTCCGGTGTCACCAAATATCCAATACTGTTTTAATGGTTATAAGAGTTACGGCGTGTAACTGTTGTTAATTTAATCCCATTGACGGAACTTGGTGCTACTTCCAAATTTTTCACTCGATAGGCCGTTCAGCAATGTATATGTGATGGGCTACCTTTTATTTTTCAATCCAACCATTATTTCTTGAGTGTGTGGTTGCCCCCATTCTGAGAGTAGAAGAGACAGAAGACAGGAGATAACTGGCGCCTTTGATGGGACCACAGAACATGGAGGAGCAGCCTGGGTACAGGGAAAGGGTGCTGGTAAAAGGAGGGGGTGTGGGCTACTCTTAGCACTACTATGAGATGCGGTCCATGAAGGAGTTTCTGCCATGACTGAGGGCTCAGGAAGCCCATGAGGAGAGAACAGGAGAGGAACTCAGATGGAGTTGGGGGAACAAAGGGGCTGGAGGCAGGCTAGACAATTGCAAAGGCAGAGCAGCATCTTTGTGGTCTCACAGAAGTAAGGCGCACCCAGAAGAGAGCATCATGGGAAAGCAGGGGACAGCTAGAAGTCAGATGAGTGAGAGTGTGGTCGGCAGCATTATCAAGAGTGGTAAAGGGTCCTACCCCATTGTCACCACAAAGGTGGAACTAGATATGACCAGAGGCCTTGTGCTTTTTCTACTGAGTATCAAACTCTTGGGGCATTCAATCCTTTGATTTTTGTAAAATGAACCCATGGGGATGTTAAAGTTATGGCAATCTGGCGAGGAAATTCTGTATCTTGTGGGAATAATTGGTTAGTATATCATGAGTAGCCTCTAAAATAAGTGTTGGACAACAGTGAGCCATCATACTGTACTCACTGGAGTGGGTATGAAAAACCAGAAAAATTCAATTTAAAACTGATGACAGTATTGGCAAGGATGTGGAAAACTTGAAACCACTGTGTCCAGATGATAGAGATGGGAAATAATTTAGCTGCTATGGACAATATGGTGGTTCCTTAAACAATTCAAAGCAGAATTTCCATATGACCTGAAATTCTTCTTTGGGATATATATATATGGAAAGCAATCGAAAGCAGAGTCTTGAAGAGACCTCTGAAGACTCATGGGCATTGTAGCATCAATTGTTAAAATGTGGAAGCAATTCAAATATCTATAACAATGGACAAATGGATAAATGAAATGTGGTATATAACATATGCATACATGTATATAATATATGCCTACACATATATGTCTATCTGCAAAACTATTGAAGGACATTCTGACTAACGTGGGTGAACCTTAGGACATTCTGCTAAGTGAAACAAGCCAGCATCAAAAATCAAATAGCATATACTTCTATCTATATCAGCTATTTACAGTTCAACATCACAGAGATAATAAATTGAAGGGTGGTTGCCAGGAGCATGTAAGAAGCAGCCCAGAGTTGTTGAATGTCTGTGGAGTTTTGGTTCTGCAAGGTGAGAATCATTCTGAAGTTTGGTTGCATAGCAATGTGGTCACACTTAAAGGCCAACACTGAAACTTGGTTTAGACCGGGTCTTTCAGGCTTTATTTTTCTCGCAATTGAAAATTCTTTTAAAAACTACAAGTTGGGATTCAAAACAGTCCCATTTGAAATCGGCCACTTTCCCACCGAACTGACTGTGATGGACATGATTACGGGCGGGGAACGTGGGAAGAAGATGTCACCCTCCCTCATAGGTGGCTCTCATGGGTATGTGGGGTACTCACTGGGTGAGAACCTCAGCAAGTATTTGCTAATGTAAAGGCGACTTTTCTTCCTGCTGTAATGACACTTAGCATTTGTGACCTAAGTATTTTTTTTTCTAAAAAATTAGGTTGTTTTCTCTCACTTGAAAACATGTTACTAAAATAAAACTCAGTGACACTGCCTGTGTGGGGACCTGGCAGTCAATCCTAAGCTGATAACACTCTTTTTGCCTGCCCAGAAATGAACTACTCTGTCCCAGTCATAGAGCGCTTAGACCGGAGTAATTTTTACACAGGTCCCCTGTGATGACTCAAGAGAGTAATATGGAGCCAGGCATCCCTTAAGGGCTGTTGACCTTTTGCTCTGGAATGCCTGGAAGATCCTATTGGCCCGCAGGTGAGATAAGAACAGGATCAAGGGCTGTGAGGTCTTGACAGCTGCCTTTGCTTCTGTAAAAACCTGCTATTGCTATGGATGGATGGAATGGTCTTCTGATTGCTACATAGCAGGAAGGTAAGAAACAACTGAGGGAAATAGAACAATTTTCTTAACCAGCTGTGGATTCCATGGCTAGCTGTAATGCATACCTTTCTGACAACTGCCTTCAAAACCCCACCTTCATGGGGTGGCGTGCTATTTGGCTCTAAGGCTACTGTCCTTCTGCTAGTAGTAAGAATAAATTCATTAATCTAAATCTGAATTGAGTCTAAGTCTTTGGCTTCTCCCAGTAGCCACAACACGTACCTTCATAAATGTAATGAGTGACCATCACCACTGGCTAGCTGCAAACTATTTTCATCACCCTAAAAGGAAACCCTAGACCAATCAGCTATCCCTCCTCATTTCCCACACTCTGCTCACTGGCAGCCACTGTTCTAACCATGTCTGTGGTCTTGCTCATTCCTGACAATTCATAGAAGTGGAATGTGGTCTTGGGACGATTCACTGAGCACACGTTTTCAAGTGCATCGGGTTATGTCTCTGCACTAACTCCTTTTTATAGTTGAACTGTATCCTGTTGTGTGGCTTATACCAAATTCTGTTGATCAGTTCACTCACTGTTTACAACTCTTGATTATTATCAGTTATTTGGCTATAGATGTTTACATTCATGTTTTTATTTGAACATTAGCTTAAAATCCTTTGGAGTCTAACTGATGAGAGGAATTGACGGGTCATGCTGTAGTTTGGATTTGAAATGTCTCCAAAGGTCCATATGTTAATGGCTTTGGGGTTCTATTGGGAGGTGGGGAGACTTTAACAGGTAAGTCTTAAGTCCCTGGAAGACTTGCCTTTGAAAGACTGACACCTGAGCCCTAACCTGTGTTTCTCTAAGAATAAGAACTTATGTCTTCATCCATCTGGTACCTATGCACACTTCCCAAGATTGCTGTGCAGGACAAACTCACAGCCGCCATTTACTGGCATCCACCAGCTTGAGTTCTGTGCCACCTGAGCCAGATACATTGAGCCCTGACACGCCATGGGATGCTAATGATTGTGAAACACACCTAGACTGTCCTACTCTCTCCTGGTCTGTGCTGTCCCTAGCATGGATACTCTCCTGCCCGCATGGAAACATGATTTTCTCTCTATTGGACTTTGGATCTCTATCTTCTGCCACTATATGCCTGCCTGTGCCCTACATGGCTCTCTCACCGGCAAAATCCCAGACCTCATGCCAGTTAACAGAGGTGTTCTATAAACAGCCACCAGCACTCTTACGCATTAAGAACATTTTCGCTCATCTGTCCTGTCTACTTTTATGTCAACTTGATACCAGCTAGAGTCCTCTGAGGTGAGGGAACCTTGATTGAGAAAATGCCTCCATAAGATTGAGATGTAGGCAAGCCTGTAAGGCATTTTCTTCATTATTAATTGGTGAGGGAGGGCCCAGCCCTGCATGTGGTCCTATCCCTAGATTGGTGGTCCTGTTATAACAAAGCAGGCTGAGCAAAGTGTGAGAACAAGCTAGTAAGCAGCTTCCTCTGTGACTGAATCAGAGCCTGCCTCCCGGTTCCTGCCCTGACTTCTTCAATGATGGACAGCTTTCTGGAAGTGTAGGTGAAATTAACCCTTTCTTCCCAGGTTGATTTTGGCCATGGGCTTCCATCACAGCAATACAATCCTTAACTAAGACACCCATCCACTTCAGAGTGTTGGGTGGGCCTGGGCACCTGGCTCTCACCGCGGCCTCTGATGCTCACAGTGCGCCCGCTGCCACTTGCCAGTCCTTGTACATGCCGTCTGAGAAGAAACGCTAGGCAGGCACGACACTCACTTTCACCCACAGCTGGTTTTCACTGCCCATCAGAACCTTGAGAAGGCTTTGCTTGAGGTGGGGGGCGCTTTACATTCCTCTTTAATTACTCTTATTCAGAGAGCACACCAGGCCCCTCTGTCTAGAGCGAGGCCCCTCAGCCAGCAGAGAGAGTTGTTACCATGCGGATGCTGAGATGCCAACAGCTTCTCTGTATTGAGCAGAGTAGATTTTCCCGCTCAGCTCCCAAGGAGCTGAGCCCCATAGATGGGGCTTTGCTAGGCCCTCTGAAGGTACAGGTCCACTGAGTCTGCCGTTCCTGGACTCTGGTTTGGGGCCAGCCTCAAACATGTGATTTTCCTTTTGACTGCACAGACAAGTGACTCTGACCCACTTTGGTGATGGGATAAGGACGCATCCAACTTCATGTTGCTGCTTCTGCCCTCTTCTCCCTTCTACCATACTGGATGACCTAGCACTTCCAAGAATGGCACTAAGTAGCTGCAGAATTCCTATGCGTCACCTCTCTAATCCTCATCACCCGCACTGCCCCATCTTCCTGCTGTTTTGGCCCTCAGAGGCTTCCATCCAGCCTCCCTTTGGGACCTGACTATACAATGAAATTAGGATAGAGAGTCCCTGGGCTTTGTATGAGGTTCTGCACTGGTGATGGCTGGCAGCTCGCAGAAAACCTGACATCTGGGTGTCACTCTTGAGTATGTGCAACCAGGCCTCCAGGGGTTTAAAAAGCTGCTGGTCATGTGTCAGCAAGGTTGGGAACCATTGGCCTTTGGACATTTTCCATTTCATGGTTTGCCAGAATCTGATGGGGTTCTTCTCCAGTTGTTAATGCAAAGAGCCTATGTCCCATTTCTCTGTTGTTTGGCTATCAAGTCTCCCAGCCAAAGGCCCTGGGGAGGGAAGGATGTTTCCCTCATTCTAGCAACTCCAAAGGGATGCCAGTTAACTCTGGTGCTCTATAGAAACCTCTAAGTGAACCATTATGTAGCAGGACCAGTATGTCCCCTTAAGCTTGTAGAAGCCTGTACAGCACAGTATCCTTGCTAAGGGACAGTAAAGTCACAGGGCTCTCTGCAGGTGCTTTGTTATTGTGGAGGGTCTTGTTAAAGTGGTACTTACTTCTGGGGACCTTGCTGGGGTATATCTTCTGACATGGTTTGAATTCATCTGGAGGGGGAAAGTCTTCCATGGAGTGGAACGTGAATTTAGACTCGAAGTCATCTGTACATGTGAGAAATACGGGAATTGGAGTTTACTCAGATTGCTACTGTGACCCAAGTGTGATTGCTTCCAGAGGCACACAGGTTGCACTGACAGAATACCCTGCTTGCTGCTTGTCTGCTCTGTGCAAGGGTTTCAGTGGCAGGGTTATGTCTCCAAGAGTCCACCTGCTTTCCCAGTATTCCTGGCTGGACAAGAGGATGCACCAGGGCTAAAGTATAGTCATTGCCCATCACCATGCCTGAGATCCTCTGCCCACCTAAAGGAGCCGCCGAAGGAACAGAAAAAGGCTCCAGCCCGGAGGGAAGACCTAGCAAAGGACCTGGTATTGCGTTCCAACAAGAGTACCTGCTGAATTCCCTAAGGAAGGCTTTGAGGAGGAGGAGACATGTCAGCTCGGCTGTGTCCAGTGTCAGGCCTGGCTTCCCAAGCAAATGGGTTCTGTCCCAGAGCTCTGATGAGGAGGGAAGGGACCCTGGCCCCTCTCTGACCTGACAGTAGCTGAGCACACAGAAGGAACAGAGTTTTTGAGGACCCCAATCTCTCTTGTTTTAGTTTTCCTCCTGCCTGGCAAGATGTCCACTTATTCCCTCCCTTTATCAAGCCACTCTGGTCTTTTAGGCTTATGCTCCTACTCTCCATGGAGATGTGCACATATCTGCATGTACGGGTTTAGTGTCGGATGTCTTCCCTTCCTCTAATCTGAGTCACATGGCTGGAGAGTGGGTCCTACACCCGTCCAGAAGACGTAGAGGAAAAGTCACTATTTCACGGATCCTGGAGGCTATTCTGTGTTCCTCTGTTCATTGCTCACTGAGAAGCAGATATCACAATGACAGCATGGGAAGCTGGTCAATGCTCTGCCCCCTTGCGTGGTCAGGGGAACTTTTGTCCTGTCTTAGAGGGCCGGGAAGCCTGCCCTGCAAGTGGAGTTCTTACCAATCACGGGCTGGCTTCCATTCCGCAGCTGGCCTCCAGGCTGCTGGCTCTTGCTGGAAAGCTCTGTGGTGGGCGATCTTGCAGGTGGGGCTGGAGGTGGGTTTAGCTTCCCCCCACTGGTTCCTTAACAGAGAAGAGTGTAGCCATTCACACACAGAAGTGAGATGCTAGATTTTTAGTTCTGGGAGAGGTTAGGTGGTTAACCCTCCAATGCTATGTGATAAGGGAGAGGGCAACAATCAGGGCCAACCTGGTTGGGAATAAATCAGTTTGCTTAACTGGCACAAGTCACCTACCCTCTTTGTACCTTTACTCATCTGTACAATGGGAGTAATACCAATCGCGTATCTTTGTAGCTCAGCTTCTCCCATCCATACAATTGGAATAATGCCAGCAAACGTTTTTTTTATGGAGTGGTTGAAAGGATTAAACAAGTTAAAAATGTGTGATTAATTAAGTTGCCCCAGCCTTAGCTGTCACTATACGATCAATGATGGGATAAGCCCGATGACAGGCAGGGACCCACTGCGGAGCAATAGGAGCTGGAAGGCAACAGGAGCTGGAAAGGGAGTCCCTCAGGCGAGGGCCCAGTGTGATGAGAAGGATTTTCAGAGGGCCTGCCTGCCCTGGGCCCTGCCTCCACCAGTTCTCTCTCAGCTACAAACCTGTGAAGGAGTTATTTTTACTTTGGCTCAATACACAAGCCTTGAGTCTGCTGGAGAATCTAGTAGAATACAGACTGTGTTCCAGTGGGACGGGCTGTCACTGCAGCTGGAAGCCAGACATGGGTCACTCAGGCAGCTGAACTAGATACCTGGTTCTGGAAACTGGCTGCACCCAACCCAGGGAGGCTGTCAAGAGCCAGGCTGACTGAAGAAGAAACACTACTCCAGCCCTCATTGTTGCTAGATCCACACCAGTGTCAAGTACCCTACATACCGTGAGAGAGGGAAGAAACGTCTGTGTGCCACTACTTTCCAGACAAGAAAGCACAGAGAGGCTAAGTGGTTGGCTCAGGACCGACAACTAGTAACCATGAGGATCAAGGCCAGAATCTCTCTGGTACCTCCCTCATCAGTGGCTTCCATCGCTAAACAAACAGTACAGTCCCGCAGAGGGGCCAAGTTTGAGTGTTCTGATGGAAACTGCCTGAGCCCTGCCAAGGAGCCCATGTGGGGAGTCCCCTCCCCCTCCCCCCAAGGCTGTTTTACCTGGGCCTCGCCGCTTCTTCTGCAGCATGGCCTGAGGGCCAGGCACACCCGGAGGAGTGGGCAAGGGCTTTTGCACCTGGAAGCTTGGGGACTTGGGCGGCAGTGGAGGAGGAGTCTCATGGCCGCTGTTGTTGGAGCCTGGCAAGAGGGGTGGGGGCACCGCGGCCCTGGGGGAGCAGGAGGCATAGATCGGGAGTGGTGGTGGCGGCGGCGGCGGCGGCGGCGGCGGCGGCGGTGGAGGGGCTGGAGGCTCCCGAAGCTCCTGTGCAGGGCTGCTGGGCTCTGTGTTCAGCCCTGGGTACCCGTAGGGTGGGAGGAGAGGGAGTGGGGGCGGGATGGGCGGCAGGTGCAGTGGAGCTAGTTGGGGCCTCACAGCTTTGTCACTAAGTACTGCAGCTGGGGGTAGCGGGGGTGGGGGCGGGATCGGGGGCGGAGGGGGAGGGGGAGGGGGTGTGCCAGGTACAGGGGGTGGCACCACAGGGGGATTCCCCTTGGTTGGAGGGACAGGTGGGGATACCAATGGGACTTTGTTGGGGGAGGCTGGGGGCAAGGGTGGAGGGGGCGGGGGCGGGGGCGGGGGCGGGGTAGGAGGTGGTGGGGCAGGCACACTGGGGCGAGGAGGGACCGGTCTGGAAGTGCTGTGCACCTCTGGGGCATTGCCCAGCCTGGGAGATGCAGGGGCAGGAAGGGGGCTGCTGATGGCTTTGGTGGGGAGTCGGGGAGAAGGCGCTCGGGAGCCAGGGCCCTGCCCTGTCTTGCCACCTGGAAGTGAAACACATTCTAGGTTAGACCAGCAAGATGGAAAGGGAATTCCAGGTAAGTGGACAGCACGCAGGCTGCACAGGCTGCATGCCCCTGCAGGTGTGTAGAATTATGCATGTCCCTAGTGAGGCTGCATGCAACAGCCACAAGGTGCTTCTCGGGAGCTGGCCTCCAAGGCCAAACACCCTTTCTACCCCTTACAGCAACAGTGTATCTGCCCAATATTTAATTCAATGATATTAAAATACTGAATGTCCACCGAAGCATAAATTATTGCTCTAGGCTATGGCCTCCAATGGCCTCAGTGACTGGATCAGGCCCTCCTATGCCATTTTAGAGTCACTGTGCAGGTGTTCTGTCAAGAGGTGAAGTCTACTTCCTGTCCCAGCTGGACTTGTCCCTTGCCGTGACCTAGAGGACTGAGTAGGAAGTAACACTTGGGAGACTTCTCAGTTAGGACAGTCTCAAGAGACCATGCAGGTCTTGCTTCTCTCTTGAGATCCAGCAAGGTGACAGGCTGTTGACAGCCTGCTGCGGATTTCAGATGACGTGGCTGTGAGGACAGTCTGTCCAGCTGTACCAGCTGAGGCCCCAGAGATAGGGGAGTAAGCCGCCTCTCCAACTTGCAGCTGTTTACAGATGCTAGGGAGTCTAGCTAAGGCTGCCGTACATTACTAATGGGCAGAATTATGGGCGAAATAAGCAGTTTTTACATTTGAGTAGCCAGCAGTGTTAACCGATACAGTGATGGAGAGTCCTTTACACCTCCACACAAAGCTAGTGTGGGCCCACAGCGCTGGCCTGTCTGTTGTGAATGGCATTCTGTCTAACGTGACACCTTCGCAAAACAAGTCGTTCTTGAGTTATGATGAAGTCATTTAAATGGATGAGATTTTAAAAGATTCCCAGAGTACAGTTCTGGGTTTTGGGAACTTCCAGAATTAAGTTCTCAAATACACAAATTTATACTATATAGCCATTTATGAGCCATGTGTCCTACCTGTTGAGAGCATAAAGGAAGACCACCAGGCCACCATGCTGGACCCTTCCTTACCTGCCACATCCCTCTGGCCTGCTGGTCTTAACACAGGAAAGCCACCAGCAAAGAGATCTCCCAGAGCAGGCGGTGTGTTTCCTCCCCGGGCATTGCTGCCAGCACTCCCTCCATCTTTGTTGGTTCCCTTTGAATCTGAAGAGAAGAGGCAGGAAGATGAGAGCCCAGCGGGCCACTCTCACTGTAGGTCAGTGTCACCTCACTCGGCTTGTTCCCCCTGCCCAAGCCTGGCAGCTGCCCTCTCTAGTCCTACCAAAGTGCTGACCATTTGTGGCTCAAATTAGAAAACTCACCGTGGCATTGAGAGGTCTAGGCTCCCTTCACCTCCCAAGAGCCCAGGCTTAATCCACTCAGACATTTTAACTTCTTAGCCAAAGAATTGGCCAGGGCCTCAAACAGGAAGTAAAGGCTTGCAATGGTTTCCTCTTTGGAACTTTCCTTTGTGGCTGCTCAGCTTTCAGGCCCCAAGCAGCTCATGCTTCCCTGCACAGATCTTTCTTCCTGCGTATTTTTTTATTTATGGATCAGAATGTCCCGTGTGGATGTCCATGTCACTAACTCTTGCCTTCCAGATGTGGTGGCTGCCAACCATAGACACTCAGAGGACACCGGACCTAGATGCTGCCCATAGTCTCGGTATCTGAACACTTTGTCCCCAAGTGGTGGCATGGTTTGGAGGGGTTTATGAGGGGTGGCCCTGTTGGAGGAAGTAGGGACACTAGAGATGGACTCTGAGAGTTTAAAAATTCCAGCCATTTCCAGTTTGCTCTCTTGTTTCCTCTTTATTATAACCAGTGTTGGAAAGGTTTCTTTTAAAATGTGTCTATCTTTGGGACTCGAGAGAGATGGCTCAGCTGTTAAAAGTGTGCACTGCTCTTTTAGAAGACGTGAATTTAGTTTCCAGCACCCACACCGAGCGTCTCACAGCCTGCTGTAAGTCCAGCCACAGAGGATCTGGTGCCTCTGGCCTCTGCAGGCACCTGTACTCATATGGGCATATCCACAGGCATGTGCACACACACATACACACGATTAAAAACAATTCTTTATGCATTAACACTTCACTGAGGTTCAATAATTGTTACAGGGCTATTTTTGAGAATTGCCATCATTTTGAAATATATGATATCATAATAATGCCTAACATTACAAATAATTCTTCATGTAACATGTTAACTTCTTACCATCTCGACCAAAGGAAAAAGAGAGATGATTGCAACAGCATTGTGAATGCTGACATTCTGATGACACGCAATGAGACATCTAAAAATGGTGAAATTCATTATATGTATTTTATCAGTTTAGAAATACTACTTATTATGAAGGGTTTTGGTTTTTGGTTTTTTTGTTTGTTTGTTTGTTTTTTGTTTTTTTTTTTTGGTTATTTTGCTGTTGTTTTGTTATTGAAAAGTACTGAAAGACACTCCAGCCTCTATCAACTGTGGACTTTTGGAAAGGAAGGTCTGACTTTCTTGCCCAGTGGCACGGCTTGTCCCTTAAGCATGTCTGAGGTGGTTTGAGAATGCATGGGTCACAAATGCAGAGCAGCCAGTGTTGTGTTCGGCTGTGCTCTCTCCATCCTCCTCCCTTCCCGGGCTCCCAGAGGCTCCATTGAGCTGCTCCCTTACTCTCGATTTGCGGGGCACTGCGGTCATTGATCTGGGTGACTTTTCGCAGGCGTGTTCCTTGCTGGATATCAGCCAACAGTGCACTCCGACCTTTCAGATCTGTCTTCCTTAAGCTGGGTGTGTCTGTACTGATCTGCAAGAGAATTGGGATTTGACTGTAATCAGACACAGCATTTGCAGAGAAACAAAATGCTCCATCAGCCGCATGTCTCTCCTACAGGAGTTCTGCCTTTTCAGCTCCAATCCCAAGGCCAAGCACACCATTATTTACAACCTCAGGTCATGCCCACATCTCTCTCCCTGGGATATCAAATGGACTCTCTTTTAGATGGTCTATACCACTGCCCATCTTGAGCATAAGGTCCTGGTGACCCACATCAGATCCCTTCACACACCTGGGCTTTCATTTTTTGCATCCCTGACCAGTTCACCAATTCTGAATGGGGCCTATTGGGGGCCAGCAGAAGCAGATTCAGGCTCTGAGAGCTGGGTTTGTGGGAGGTATGGTGACCTTTATACGATCTTGCAGCACAGAGGAGAACTAAGAAGCTCAAAAGAAATGGAGCTCCCAAGGGTCGGAGAATTGGGAAGGTAAGGAGTCGGGCTCCCAGCATATCTTAGTGACTATAACTCTACTCACTGGGCAGGTGAATGATTGAGTGACTGACTGACTAAATTTATCCAGTAAGTTTAAGACACTGTGTGAACTTCAGTGAGCATGCATACATCTGTGCTAGGGACACACACAAACACTGCAAGGAGTTAATTCCCTACATCTCAGTGCATGGCCTAGAATCCACTGACCACCACAGAGAGGAGGAGCACAGAGTGTCCAGAGAGGACCATGTGGACCAAATGAAGCTTCACACAGATCCTGATCGGGGAATGGGCTTTGGAAATCCTCGCTCTGGTCAGAAAAGTGAGTCAACATAACATTATGAAACTGTCTCTTACATTCTAGGAGTCGGGAGCTTTTGCTGGACCTCACACCTGAGTTAATAGCACATCCCGAGATCACTGCTATCCTTCTGGGTACTCAGCCTGTTTGTTTAATCCTCCCATAAGAGAACAACCTAACAAGCAACCTCACCTGCCTTAAGTTTTCCCATGTAATCAATGTTGACAGCTTAAATTCAGGCATAGCTTTAATCTTAAGTTAACATGTATGCAAACATATATTACTCCCGACCTGTGAGTAATGCATGAATGTATTATGTATATATGTTATGGTAATAAATGCTGAAAACAACAAATAGGATGAAAGGAACTTTTTACACTAAACATCTGCTGTAAGCAGTGGGCACAACATGTGGACATTTCTTGATGGCCTTTGCTTGTTAGCTGTGTCAGCTGCTGGAGTAAGTAAAGTTTCATCCTTGTAAAACCCTGTTAATGATTTCCACAGGGTATCTCCAATTCTTTCCTGTGTGATAACGCATCTGATCTGACACAGAAAAGGAGAGATTAGATCCCCTGATAGAAACTCCTGGGCTGTGTCAGAGGCTAAAACAAAGGCCACTGTGTTCTGGGCTAAACCTAAGGAGTCCACTAGAGGGCTCTCCTGCACCTGCCATTCATAAGGTAGGTGCCAACCTTCTCTCTGTGAGGAATTGCTAACTTCTGAAAAAAAAAGCCACATATATATATAGCTTAGTGGGTTTTAGACAAAAAGGCATATTCACATGTCAAAGATCATATATTAATTTCTACTCACTCTACAATATTTGTCAACCTTCCAACTATAGTGGTTTATAACAAACAAACAAAAAAATTCTACAGCCCTAAGTATCCTTGTTACCATGGTTACAGGATAATAAAGCAGGAGGAAAGATTCCTAAATATCCCCTGGGCATTTAACTCAGTGCCAATCCATGCTATTGGTAACTTTACTAAAATCATAAATAAGTATGGGAGAGGAAGCAACTCTGGACACTTTCCCAGCTCCCACATTGCCTGGGACCCCTACAATGACATCCCTGCAAAGACTGCTCTTGTTCCTTCCTATTCACAACGTGATTGAGAGCAAAACTCTGTCAGAGCCCACACAGAGCCTTGGTCCACTCGCTTTGCTGCTGTTAGGGTCAAAAGAAGCAGTCTAGGAACCTAGGAGACGTGAAATCATAGGAAAGACAGACAGACGCATGAGCCTGACTCTTTAGATAAAGAGGCTGAAAGCCAGAGACTGACCAATAAGAAGATTAGAAATACAAAAATCAAATAACAGCAACACAGAGTCAAGATGAAGAGAGTAAGATTGGAAAGGTGGTTGCTCTGGTTTGGATATATTATGAAGACCTTCTGTGTCCCCTTATTATTCCAATAAATGAACCAGCAGAGCCTCAGCTGTTATTTGGGGAAGGGAGCAACAGCCCATATCAAACCTTTAAGCATGTGTCCTCTGCTGCACTTCCTTTGCCATCTGGGAGCAAGGTGACACAAATGCTGCTGGTTCTCTCATCAGAGAAGCCGCTTTTCAAAAAACGAATTTATGTTTTTATGTGTATGCCTGCAAGTCTGTGCACCAAGTCTATGCCCGAGGGAGCCAGAAGAGGGTGTCAGATCCTCTGGACCTGGAGTTGCAGAGGGATGTGAGTGGTTATGTAGGTGCTGGGAATTGAATCCAGATCTTCTGGGGAACTAGCCAGTATTCTTAACCATTGAGCCATCTATCTGTTCAGCCTCGAGAGCTTTTAGCAGTGGAGGGAGGTTACCAGAAGGGACAAGAGATTGAAGTAGAGAGAATCAACATCAGCAGAGTCCTCCTTCCTAAACGGGGCGTCCATATCACATACTTTCCTCCCAAGGCTCAGGGAATGTCTCCCTGAGTGGAAAGACCAGAAGAGCCAGAGCTCCCGGGGGACTGCCACCAGACCATCTTTCAGGCATGATGGAAAGTTGTACTCATGAGCTCTCAACAGCTGTGGGTGCTACCCAAGACTCTCAAGATCAATCTGGTCAATATCCTGGCATGCCTGGGGGGCAGGGCAGTGCTCACAAGGTCCCACTCCTTGTTGAGATGCTACAGGTCAGTGGCTACCTGAGGAAAGAAGTCAGGTTGCTCAGCAGTGGGGGTAGGTCCCAAGCTATAATAGACAGCCCCACACTCACTTGCATTTGGGGTACACAAATTAGACTTGATAGATCCGCCCATCATCCATCCATCCATCCATCCATCCAATCATCCATGCATCTGTTTATATCTATCCATCTGTCATCTATCCATTTATACCTATCTATCATCATTTATATCTATCTATCATCTGTTTATATCTATCTATTCATCCATCTGTTTATATCTATCTATCCATCTCTCCATCCATCCATCCATCATCACTTATCTATTTATGGGGGGGGGTGGAGGGACATAAACTGGGAGGAAGATGGGGTAGAACAAACCTGGGAAAAGCTGCAGGTGGGGAGTGAGGAATGAATTTGATATAAATAAAATGTATTCATGTATGAAGGAGAAAAATAATCAGTTTGACCCAGATCAAGCAAAGTATTTCTTTCAAAGGCTATGTAAACCCAACCATTTTATAATTTTAAGCTAGCATATAAAGTAATAGGTTTAATTGTGGCATGCTCATACATATTTTGTTCTTATTCAGCCCCCTCTGTTTCTCTTCCCTGCCCTCTTGATCCTCTCTTTCTGGTTCCCCCATACCCATAGCCTTCTTTCTGCCTTCAGGCCATGGGTATTTCATTAACATCTTCCTTTTTCCTCTTCCCCCTCCCTTAAAGTCTCTACCTACTTCTAATGAAGTCCTCTGTAGTTTCATGACCCATACTCACACACACATGCAGACTTAAGGCTAGGTTCTGCTCTAAAAGAAAGCATGCAGTAATTGTGTTTCTGAGTCTGCTCCCCTCCCCTTAACTCAATGATTCCAATTCCATTCATTTCCTGCAGACCTTTTCCTTACAGCTGTTAAACTGAAAGGAGTGCACAGGTTCCCAAGCATCCTCAGCTTCCCCAGCATCCTCAGACTTGTGGGCAGACAGATCTCAGCAGCCTCAGTAGGTCATTGCCAAGGTTGGATCACTAGGACAGCTAGAATAGCACTGCCTCGCACCTGCTGCCATCCTTTTTGTGTTGAAGAACATAGGGAACTTTGTATCCAGGAGAGAGACTGAAATATCCTTGGGGGGGGAGCCTACTCTCCCCCACCAGGCCTGACACAATGTTCTCTGCACTCCAAATGGTACATAAGTCACGCTGTTCAAGAACGAGGCATTTTGCCATCACACAGTTTTATGTTTCATTTTTAGAATTCCAAATTGCAATTCAAATTCATGAGCAGAATCAATGGACTGTCTAACCCCATATAAGCCTGATGTCCACACCAAGCATGGGCACATGCGCACCAGCGTACTTGCGTGCTTCTCACTCCGAGATACAGGCTGAGCAGCCCCTTTGCTGGTGCTGAGGGATACAGGTTATCTCATGCAATGGTACAACTCTGCTGACTAGATGGGGATTCTTTCCCTGCCCCATTCCAGGCAACCACTCCTTCACAAAGCTCCTGCTTTGTCCTCTTCAGGCTGTGTCATAAAGCAAGCTCTCATGCTTGCCACCCTGCCCTCCTCCACATAGCAGCCAGAGTGACCTTTCCCAGGGAAATGCAGTTCACCATGCTGCTCTCCTCCATAAACCTGTTTTCCTGGGGATTCTGCTCAAATCCGCTGTAGCACAAGGCCCTCGGGGACCAGCCCAAAAGTCCCATCCCACCAAGGAGCTCACCTCCAGACCCTGACTTGAGCTGTCCTTTTGATCTTTTTATACTTGCCTTTTGGCACTCTTCCAAGGATCCCCGGAATCCTGGAAGGCAGAAGCAGAGCTCTGTGTCTTAACAGGGCACCTGCCTCCAGATCATGTCACTCCACTCACACCTTTGCATGGCTTTCCATATCACGCAGAATAAAACATTCATGCCCCTGCCTGGGCTCCCATGTTTACCCCTAAGCAGCAGCAGCAGCATTCCTAGATGAGGTCATAAGACACAATAGTTTACACATTACATTAGTAACCGAGGGGTTTTCTCTTACCCTCAAGTCCTGTGAACTATTAGTGAGTTCATTCATTAGTGAAAATAGCCCTATATATGTTTTTGTCTGAAATCCAATCTCTTTACA